CAAAAAAAATTGCCAGTTATTTTAATTGAAAAACTAAACTACTAAACCAATTTCGATAAAATTTCTATGGCACCAATCTGTAAGTATATACTATTATATATATTTACAACTGACGGAGTTATGAGGTAACAAACATAAAAAAACACAATCTAATTGATAACCTCCCGTTGGAAATCAATTAAAAGTAACATGAATAGATAAATAATACCTTGCGAACTATAGACTAGTTGTCATAATTTTTAACTTCTTGAGAATATATTCTCTATAAGTATTATATTATATAACGTAACATAATCTACAAAAATATCCAAAGAAATATTTATAATAAAATATTCATAAAATTAACTGTAACATTTTAGCGAACTTTAAGCATATGCCATAATTACAGCGTGAAACGGTTTCATATATGTGTTGCAAGGTCAATAAAGCACGGCAAGTTATTTATATGACATTTTATGGCACAAGTTGAAGTTGCATACTGAATTAATAATATTTTATAATACTTATCACACTGTATTGCGTAATATTTATATCTTGAAGCAGCCGTTAACTGTCCACTGCTGAACATAGCCTCCCCCATAAGAAGGGGTTTTGCCAGCAGTTGCCAAGCTTGGCAGGTGGGTTGGCTTTTGATGCTGTTTTAAGAGGGACGACACATCTCTCAACCGTTAAATTCCCTTAGTCGCCTCTTACGATACCTATGGGAAAGAAAAATACATAAAATTAATCGGTTAACTTTTATTCTGCCGCTGTTTTTTTATATATTTATAATGACTTAAACAGTGCCTATACGGGAATATAAAGTGGCTATAGTTTGCGATAATGATTGTAGAATAAGGTGCTTACTGAAAGTTTTTGAATATGTTAATAAAAGAAAGTTATCCATTTCGCAAACACATAACGCTTTACTTCTAAGAATATATATATAATATATAATAGATTACTTCTAAGAACTCCACCACATCATACTCAGGCTTTTGGGAATTCCTTTACAGTTATATCCATTCGACTATGGAATAGTCTGCCATCCGAAATAAGGGAATCGGCAAATAGGCATGTTTAAGCGTCGTCTAAGAGAGCATTACTTATCACTATGCTGACGTATTATGTATATGTGTATGTATATTTATATATGTTTATATGTGTATATATATGTATGTGTATATGTATGTTTGTGTAAATATATGTGTATGTTTACAGGGTATTTTATGTAATTTATAATGTGTAGTTTGTATTATTCTTTGTGTATACATAACTTATGCGTTTATGCAATATATGCAGATCGTATGACTGCCTATTTTTATTTTTAAAATAACACATTAACATGGAAAGGTTTTGCTGGAAGAAATCTCTTATTAGAGATAAGCTCGCCTTTGTACATTATGTTTATAATGAATTGTAATTACCAGTATGTTTTGTGTACAATAAAGAATAAAGAATAAAGAATAAAGAAAGAAAGAACGCTATAAATATACAAATGAATACAACAAATAGGAATCGAATCCATGGAAATGATTTTTTTTTTAATTTATCAGATAAAATACCTACATTTATTTATTATTTATTAAGTACATGTTTAGTATAGAAATATAAGTACATGTTTGTGTAATTATAATAAAATTGGACAGTGGTCTCGATCTTTATCTCGTATCAAGCCACGCTCGTCTTCGCGACGTACACTACACAATGTAGTAAAAGTAAAAGTGAACGAAGTTGTTGGTACGATGGCCGAGATTGGTCGTGTCGTGACGACCAACAGTCGTAGCCGCGTCAGGGAACTGTCTGGTCACACGAACTGACAATAACAATAATTTAGATTGGCCACGTGTTTCGTGTTTAGAAACAAATGTAATCTATACAAATCACCATTACTTACACTACATAAATCATTGATGTTTCTCTGTTGATATCTATTTGTAAATTACGAAATACATGAGATATACTCTTGCTTTCTAGTGGATATTATAAAAGGCAACAAAAGGAATTTAATTTTCGAGAAATAGGCGACAGCGTCCCTATTAAAATGTCATCAAAACTTAACTGCGATTGCCAACCCGCCTGGCAAGCGTGGAAACTATTGGGAAAACCCCCCTGGTTTTGCCTAGTTGGACGCTGCTGCTGATTTCTCCTGGCCATTAAGTTCTCTTATTATGGGGGAAATCGATGTTCAATAGTAATAATTATCATAACAGCTAACGGGTGATAGGGTAATGATGACATTGAGATATAACTTGAACATCACAATTTTTTCTTTGATGGTCATAAAGCTGTTTATATCTATATGTGATTGTTAACATTTTTCATCAGGTGGGCCACTAACTTGCCATTCGGTGTTGCATAAAAATATACCTTGACTAAAATTCAATGCATATTGTTGGCAACTTGGCTATCAGGTCGATCTCTTTGCGGTTCCCTCTGGAAACCATCGTGATTAATTCATTAGTGAATTTGTTACGATGGGCTAACTGACCTGCGTCATTCTCACCAATCATTCCTCACTGGTGCCTTGCCAGTGTATACCAATAGCGCAGGCAGCGTCACTATTCCATTAACGTCCATTAAAAAAAAGTTCCCATTACACACACTATTCCATTATCATTCCATTAAAAAAAAGTTACGATCCCTTCCCTTCTCCTCAAGCACTTTAATACCGATAGGCACACTGTAGGAAAAAGGAGATTTTCAATTGTTTGGTTGTATTTTTATCACGCTTGTTGCCTCAAGAACTGAAAGAATATAAGTTTCAATCTCAATTTATTTATTACATTCTACAATATTATTATGAAAGATGTTAATAATTGATACAGTACATTGTAGACCCTGTCGGGCACAGCAATTAGAAGCGTTAGGCGTTGATCCTTAAATTTTCATAAAGATTTAAATAATTCAATTTCAATTTCATCAGTTTAATTAAATTCGAATTAAATTCCAAATTAAATTAATTATTTTAACGATTTTTTTTATTTCCATATGTTTTATTTTTATACTTTACATTTTTTTTTATTTTTTACTTTACAAACTTAATACTTCATTTTTATGAGATCAATCTAAACATTCAGATTACAGTTCTCATAGAAATTAAGTTAAAATTGTTTTAGTGTTGTTTGAATTTGAATTTGTTGTTGACGATTGAAGTTAGTATTTTTTTTTTTGTGAAACAAAATCTAATCGTGGAGACTTAAGTGGTTAGCTAAATTATAACATAGAAAGTTTCCAATAACGCAACGAAACAATCGATGTCTAATTGCCACCGCTGACCTCGTGTATATTACTCAACGGTCACGCTTCACGTGTGATTACACGCCGGCACTGGTGTACTCGCATGTACTATTGCTACGAAAGTGCAACTCAGTAATAAGGTCACGCATTGACAACTCCAGGGCTGCAACATGTTCTAGGTACCTACTACTCTTAATTTATAATACTAAACCTATTCTAACCGGAAGAGCGGAAGGGATTGTTAGTAGTAGGGAGGTTAGTTCCCATCGCTATCAGTATAGTTCCCCCTGGAAACCGTCGTAACTAATTTATCGTTGAATTCGTCACGATGGGCTAACTAACTTGCCTTTTCATCCTCACCAATCATCCCTCACTGGTGCCCCGCCAGTGTATACCGATAGTGCAGACGGGATTACCATTCCATTATCATCCATTAAAAAAAACCTACTCTAACCAAAAAGTCTTATAAATAATAAACTTAAATTGTTTTTCAAAAAAAATTGTAGCAAAACCAGTTATTTTGATTTAAAAACTAAAGTGCTAAACCAATTTTAATAAAGTTTCCATGCAAAGAATTTTTCAAATCGGTTTACAACTGACGGAGCTACTCATATGAAGTAATAAACTTTAAAAAAAAACATACAATTGAATTGAGAACCCCTTTCTTTTTGAAGTCGATTGAAAAATATAATAACTATGAGCTTTAGTAATCTCTCTGAAGATGATGTAGTGAGTTGCTCCAACTGATCTGACTAGGAGGGGAGGAATTATCATTTATGAAGAAGTTAGTTCCCATTGCTTGCAATATACTCTATCAGGTCGATTTTCACGCGCTCCTTACTGAAAAACATTGTGTTTAATAAAATTTACATTTTAACAAACTTTAGTAAAATCACCATTATGGACACACTTGACTTCATTCTTCACTAGTGCCCCGTGATTGTATCCTGTTAACATAGTGAATGCACTATTCCATTTTTGTCCATTAAAAAAACTGATCTGACTTCATCTTTACCCATCATCTTTTATATATATAGTAATTGCGAGTAGCGATTCTGTTGCATATCTGTAGCATTATATGCTGCCAGGTCACGGATCCTCTTGAAAGACATCGTTGTTAATTCCAAATGAATTCGCCATGATGGGCCAACTGACATGACTTAGTAACTTCTCGTCACCTATCATCCTTCACCAATATCCCGCCAATTAATAGCGTAAACAAGGTTATCATTTTATTATCATCCTCTAAAAAAACCTGATCCTACTGTGCACGACCTACAATTTGTAATCAAAAATTAAAAGCGATTCTACAACTTTGACATTTAAATATATTTACCGACATTGAAAAGTGATAATTGTTGTCTACAAACATAAGACATATTATGGATACCATAGATGGGATGGGGTAGGTTAATAATTCCAAACAAATACTTTATAAGGAAATCATTAGAGTATTAAATGGTAGTTATCTATTATATCAAAATAATATAGTTAATAAGATTTAATAGGATTTAATTCTAAATTAAATCATTTTTATAAAATTCTTGTGAAATCTACTATTTCTAAACTTAATCTAGGAATCCTTGTATTCATTTTGCATGACAGGAAATTGCGACTGCATTTTTTATCGAGATCGACCAATCTGATTTTTCATTTACAAAGCTGAATACCAGTAACCAGTAATTAGCCCTGTTTATTCTCTATTTATTAATTAGTTGCCTTGTCTGAGTTGTATGATTATATCTATTAAATGATAATAAGTGTATTTTTTTCTATTACAGCGCACGCAGGCATCCTTCTTGAAAATGCGCCCGCATGCCCAGAGCAATATGGTGTTCAGGTAATATTATTTTTTTAGTATGTGTAGTTCCTAAAATATTCTTAGATCTTCCACAAAGCATATATATAGTAATCAGGAGTATTACATTGATTAAAGCAGGATATACCATTAGTTTACCAGAGGGAGACTTTGTACAAAAGTCAATTGCTTGGGTACCTCTGTCCCATTCGTGTTTCTACCGTAAAGCAGTTGTGTTTGCATGGCTGTGTTTCGGTTGGAAGGGTGGGATATGGCATGAATTTACAGGCTACAGAGGAATAACATCCGAGTCCTCAGGAATGGCAACGCATGGGGGGTACCATGGGCGAAACAGTATATTCTGTTATGTCTATGGTACTGCTCATGTCTATAGGCGACGGTTACCACTTTCCATCAGGTGGGCCGTCAGCTTGTTTGCCATTCTAAGTTGTATAAAAAAAAAACACAAAAAAATTATGAATTATTTTTATTATAAGAATATCGCGTATATACATTTAATTGCAGACTTCATTGCCCTTTTGTGTGTACTTTGATATTTTACATACATATTAATATTTTTTAAATGAAGAACTTACTTTTATTGACTTTGATAAGGGTCAACCTTCTCTGCTTTCTATCTAGTTGCTTGCTAGAGAACGAGATTTGTAGATCTTATGTCCACGATTTATACTTGAAATACTTACATGAAAGATAAATAAATATAGATTTACAACTTACTGCAAAATTTTTAGACTCACTTCAAAATTTCTACCGCCTCTATATTCCTTTACAAAATTGTCAAGCTCGGATGAATTACTGTATACATATGTACATATATCTGTTATCTATGAACTATTTAAACTGACAGTTGCCTTACCTGACTTTCCAGGCGTACCAACATCCGGAGCTGTGTGATCAATTCTTCCTGTGCACGAACGGTACATTGACAGTGGAGACGTGCGAAAATGGATTATTGTTCGATGGTAAAGGCGCCGTCCACAACCACTGCAACTACCACTGGGCCGTGGACTGTGGCGAGAGAAAAACTGATTGTAAGTCAAAATTTCACGCTACGTCCTTTATAGGCGCTCATTTCTCTATAACCCACCCTGCATTACAGTTAAAAGAGCGCCTGTTGTAAAACACCAACAAGAAACCGTATTCTACTGTAACTGACCATCTCTATAGATAAGAACAGCATATGAATTCACTTACTAATAAAAATCTTAAATTCCTAATAAAATTCAAGTCATAAATTTCTATTAAAAATTACGCATTAACATTTTTCGAACTATTAAGTTATTATACAAAAGAGCTTTGAAAGGTTTTAGTTTTTATAAATAAAGTAATAAATAAAGCGGTTAAACAATGCTGATAATTTAAGAATTTCCACAAGATTGAGTTTGAGAAAAAATAACACATTTTATCGATAATATGCAATTAAGAATATTTAAGATTGTGTTCCACAAAAAACAAACCGACATTAATTGTGGTAAAACCAGTTATTTCAATTTCAGAACTACTGAATCGATTTTGATAAAATTACTATAGGATGCATCTGTAAGTATTTTTTTTTTTTTTTTATACAACTTAGAATGGCAAACAAGCTGACGGCCCACCTGATGGAAAGTGGTAACCGTCGCCTATAGACATGAGCAGTACCATGGACATAACAGAGTATACTGTTTTGCCTATAATACCCCCCATGCGTTGCCATTCCTGAGGACTCAGGTGTTATTCCTCTGTACCCAGTAAATTCATATCCTTTTTCTTAAAAAAAGAGTTTTCCAAATCGGTTTACAACTGACTGAGATATGTACGTAACAAACATAAAAAAAATTCAACCTTATCGCTAACCTCCTTTTTGTTGTCTGTTGAAAACTAATATAAAGAGGTCTTAATAAAACCAATAAATACCGAAATTATATTTTTTTTACAATTGTTGTCTGTCTGTATGCTTGTTCTGACATTACGTAAAAACTACACTATCAAATTGGATGCGGTTTTCACACGTGTATTACTAAAGATCTAACTTAAAATCTGATGTATTTTATATTTGGAAGTAGTCTATTTATCTACTCATATATCACAGCAGGAAAAAATCAAGTAATATGTAGTAATATAGCAACAAGTAATACAGCAACAAGTAATATAACAACAAGTAATATAGCAACAAGTTATACAGCAACAAGTAATATAGCAACAAGTAATATATCATGATATTTTTACACTATTTATAGCATAATACTAATCATTTCTAAAACCAGACTGGCAACATTTTATTTTTTTCCGGGAAATAAAACTACTTACCTATTACTACCTTAATATTAGGTAACGAGATTAAAAGGGAAAAGCTTGGAAGGTGGATAGATGTAATAACATGCAGGAAACAGGAAAATAAAAGTTAACTTGTGAGCTATCTTCTGTTTTCAAACGATTTTATTTTTTGTCATCTTTATCAATTCGATTCTTTTCTATAGTAATATAGTAGTAAACAAGTATATACAGCCCGTCTGATGGTAAACGATTCAGTGGTTTTGTATAAATATCACACGATATCTTCGTCAACTCTGAACCATTTTTTATGTACAACTAAATATGTTTATTCCCATGTTGTTACCATAACAAATTTTGTCAAGATAGAATGTTTTTGAAGTAACACTTAACTTCAATAGCATTAGTTATTAAAACATAATTTTACTTCAGAGATTATCGTACCGATCAAAGTAAATAAATATGATAATGTTTTTTTCATATACAGTGACACCTTTGTCTACACCCGGCTGCGAATACCAATTCGGTATCTACCCTGATAGCAACGAATGTTCCACGAGCTACGTCAAGTGTGCCTTTGGTATCCCTAACCAGGAACCCTGCACCCCTGGTCTTGTCTACGACGAACGTACCCATGGCTGCAACTGGCCGGATTTATTGCAACCATTCTGCAATCCTGAAGGTAAATGTTTTAGCTTTATTATTATTTTTTAAATATTATTATTATTAATTTATATAATTTAAAATGGCACACAAGCTACAGGCCATATCCTACTCTTTAAATGGAAATTATATAGCAGAAACACGAGGGAGATAAAGGTGCCCAAGCAACAAGCGACGTGGTAGTCTTTGTACTAAAGGGTACTTAACTAAAGTCTTTGTATCAGATGAATAAATTGGGTTGTACGTTATATTGTATCTAGTAGTTGTAATTATATCTGGGCAGGAGACGGCGAAAGGCTGCTCCATAAGTCCTTCCGCGGGTTCGGAGTACCATCTGCACTCAGCCCATTTTCATCCGGTGAATCTGTAAAGGCCATCTGCGGCTAACAGCAAAAAATAGTACGAAAAAAAAAGTAGTATCTAAATGATTAATGACAACATAAGCATTGACTGTATGATCCCTAATTCCCTTATCTATCAGGCGATTTAAATTAATTTTTTCTCATCAGTTTATAGAACTTTCTTTAGATAAAATCTTTATAAACATCACATAACTACGCTTACGCAGCGTAAAATGTAAGAGTTGTTTATGTAATTAGACAATTTAAAAAGATATCAATCTTACATGATATCAACTAGCGGCTCTAATAAATAAAATACTCTGTAATTAAGTATTTAATTAAACTGTTCACAGCGGTCGTCGGCTTCAAGTGTCCCACGAAGGTACCTTCCAACTCTCAGTCGGCCAAATTCTGGCCCTTCCCTCGATTCCCAGTACCTGGTGATTGCCACAGACTGATCACGTGCGTGGAAGGCCAGCCCCGGCTTATCACTTGTGAAGAAGGCAAGGTCTTTGATGATCAGAACCTGACCTGTGAAGACCCAGAGCTAGTCCCACACTGTGGTCATGCGTGATTTACTGATGTTGAGTATTGCAAAATGAAAATGAAAATTGTGTCTTCCATACATTTCTAATTTATATCTACTTAGATAATTTGCAATAATTTGCACTTTTTTATTTAAATTGAAAATAATTACATAAAAAAAATTCTAACAGTTTTATTAATATTGACTGCTAACATTGATGTTCCTTTCCACTTTGGGTTTGCTGGAAGAAAACTCTGTTAGAGTTCTCGCCTTTGTACATTTGATTACCTCTGTCATATTTTATAACTGGTGTGTACAATAAAGAATTAAATAAATAAATAAACAATTGTAAATAACATAACATAACACACAAAATAAAAAAAAATTAAATTCAAAACATGAATAAAAAATTTTCCTCATTATAATTGACCTGATCATTTGATCAGTCAATCATGATCAGTTACTATATTTTTAATACAAGCTACAAAATAATTCACCTAATTATTGTATGAGTATAGCGAAGACTTAGTTTATTTTATTTATCGTTTTCGTTTTGTAATACTGTAATATTTTTGTATGTTTTAATTTAATTTCAATGTAAAATACCTGGAAAGCTATTTCCACCGAATACTATTTATTTTTGTATAATACTTTTGTGATTAAACAACCAATTCTTGATTACAAACCTAGTTGCCAAATAAACCATGATTTGTGCGTGATATTAGTTACCGTAGAAATACATAATATATACCTGTTTAATATTTGTTCACCTACATGAAAGTAATGAAACAAAATATTTATATATTTTTATACTTGTAAATACTACGAAAAAAGTGAACATGTAAATAGAAAAATATTTTTATATGCGAAAGAATGAAATATAAACATTTTGTAAAGTTACCGGTTGTGTTTTATTTAGGATTACATTTCAATTTATTCTCTAGGTTATATAAAATATTAAATTTAAACTTTTTTTTATGCAATTTAGAATGGTAAACAAGCTGACGGCCCACCTGACGGCAAGTGGTAGCCGTTGCCTATATAGGTAACACGAGCAATACTATGAAGATAACAGAGTATACTGTTTCTCTCAGGTGTTATACCTCTGTAAACTGTAAATTCACAGTCATATCACACCCTTCAAACCGAAACACAGCCATGCAAATACAACTGCTTCACCGTAAGAACACAATAGGACAGAGATGCCCAAACAAACTACTTTTGTACAAAATCCCTCTGGTACGAATTTTTTTATGTATATAAAAGTGGATATTTGGTTGCATATTTATGCTCGATAGATTTTCATGTATGCTACTAATAAGAGGTCGTCTTACACTGCGTTTTCTGTATGGGGTCGCTATAAGATAATTTGGGTCATCTTAATTTATATATATATATATATATATATATATATATATATATATATATATATATATATATATATATATATATATATATATATATATATATATATCATTAAATCTCATTAGATGGGTCAAATTTTGTACGTCCTTTATCTGAAGCGACACATTATTTTTGCCTTCCTTACGCTCAATCGCATAAGAAACTGCCCTCGGTTTATAGGAACATTCAATAAAACCTGACCTTTATACGATACAATGATATGTAAAACTGTTCCAAATTTCAAATTACTTACATTATTAGATGCTGAGATTTAACGCTGTATTAGACGAACGGATGGATGGATGAAGTCGCATAAGGGTTTCTTTGTACCATTTTTGTACGGAAATCTAAAAATGGTGTCCATAATTTGCCCCCATTCACTTGAATCGGTAATCAGGTTCCACATGTGAATACAGTCTGCCTAAATACTTATTTTACAGTCGAATTTTTTGTGTCTTTCTCATATCCAATTGCCTTTAGGATCCATAGTCAATGGATCACAAGTGTATTAAATTAAATTATATTGATAAAATAAACTTTAATGGATTTCAGTGTTTAAATTATTTTTTACCTGATAACTGAAAATACAAAACTCAGTAATCGTTGTTTCCCATTAAATACAAGACCATGTTGTAATATGGGTAGCATTATGGTAGGAAACCGGGATTTTTATCGTAAAATCTATCTCCCACTGTAAAACAAAATCCTCCATCTACTTTTTCCATATAATTTAATTAACACCAAGAATCTAAAATCATTTCCTCAATCGCTATTAGTTAAATCTCCGTATTCAAATCCAGTTTCTTTTACATTATTTCAGTATCTTAAATAACTAATAATATTTATTACTATAAATTTAAAGTCGCTTTATTACTACCAACCTGTTTTGTATTTTAATTTACCATTGCTATTTCAACTTCGCATAAACTCTATCAAAAAAGATTGTTTCTTAATTGAACAATCGTAAAAATTTATTAGACTTTTTTTGAATAAAAGACATAGATATAAAGTATAGCTTAAAATTTATTTATTTATTAACTAACTACATAAATGCTCTACTCTTCATCAACTTCGATAGGCGCTGATTTGCCTTTAGGACGCTGTGGCTTACGGCGAGACGGCTGGGACCCTGAGGGCTTGGGTTTTACTGTGGGCGGGTTCTCCAACGCATCAAGTTCGGCATCAGTGAGTTGACCTTTGTACCAGTCCGCGCTGGAAACAAACATGATTATAAAATATCTGTCAATCTCATTATATTCATATTTCAAAAGTTGGCAAAGTGCGATTTATAAATAGGGAATTAATAAAGGGTTTGTTTATTTTATTTTTATTTATTTAACACTTTATTGCACCAACATAACATGATTGGTTAAAACAATTTTCAATACGTATAGTGTCTCAAAAGGCCTTATTGCTAAACAATCTCTTCCAGACAACCTTTGGGTAGAAAGGATTAAAGCTGTCAGGTGGCGCGTTAAAAAAGATAGATCGATTTTTTTTAGTCATACATATACTTAAATGGCACAACAAGCTAACATATACATATATATACCATATACATATATACGAAAGTGGTAAAATATACCGTCACCATATATATAACACACATAAAACTGTACCATGGACATAACAGATAGGTATAACTGTTTTTAAAAATGGGCATGATTGAGCCACCGTATAGAGGTTGTCATTCCAAGAGTCAGGAAAAGGATTTCTCTGTAGAAAGTAAATTCACGATATATCCCATTCTTTAAACCGAAACACAACTGCTTCACGGTAGAAACACGAATGGTACAGAGGTACCCAAGCAATCGACTTTTGTACAGTCTGGAAAATAGTCGAGATGGGCTAACTAACCTACACTATTCTCGTTACAGTCATTCCCACCTCTCACTAATATGCTGCCAGCGTATACCGATAGTACAGGGTTTTTTTTATGGATGATAATTAAATAACCCAGCCTGCGCTAACGGTATATGCTAGCAGAGCACCAGTGAAGGATGATAAGTAAGAATAAAAAAGCAGGTCAATGATAGGCTAATCATGATGAATTCTCCTAGAATTCAGCACGACTGTTTCCAGAGGGACTATGTGAAGGTGGACTTAACAGGGTATATTGCTAGCAATGGAACTGGTAGTCCACATTCCTAACAATCCTTTCGTTCTACCTGCAACAGAGTTGCTAATTTATTGCTATGGTGACAATGGAAAATTTGTCTGGCATAAAATACTAATTTATCTTTCTGTCTAACTGCACTAAGCCGGGTTGGATCGCTAGTTCAAGAATAAACCCTAATCTAGAATAGTAATATATCGTCAATTCCTGTCATACCTAAAGTAGAATATTATAAAAGCCTACTACGAGAATAAATCATAACACATTCTTGTACTGGGTAAGACAGAAAAAACTCGAAATAAGAGTTTATATCTACCATGTCATCCGGTAAGTACAGTGAGTGTAAAAAGTATTCGTACACCTAGGGTTATAATAAAAAAAATACGAATTTGATAGACTTTCCTCTATTTTTTTAAAAAAATACTGTTAAATAGTTTAACATTCCCGCACTTTGTTTATGATAATTTTTGTTTTATAAAAAAAAAATTATACAACATAAAAATATTTTTACGTTAACTATGCAAATAATGACAAACAAAAAGTATTCGTACATTCATTCTTTTTTAAATGAAATTCTGTATAAATCATTTATTCAATCGAATTTTTCATATATCTACAATGCCATATAATACGTAGGTATAGATATTAGACGTTTTAGTTGCACTCGTGACAAGTATAGACGTGTTTAGTTACAAAAATGGGTCGTAAAGCAAAGAAACGAGTGAAGAGGAGAGAAAAATAATTATTAATTTGCATAATCAATTCATTATGTGAAATTGCAAAATTTGTCAATAGACCACGTTCAACCGTACAGACTAATATAAAAAACACTAAAAAACAAACCCAGAGGTGGGGCGTCCATCAAAAATCACGATTGGATCGGAAAATTTTAAATTGTGTAAAAAAAAAAATCCAAAAATTAGTGCCGCTCGAGTGTTACAAGAAATTCATCTTTTCTGTCAGTCCGTTCGGAACGTATTACTGCACGTAGTATCGATTATCATGGAAGAACTAAAAAGTATTGGGTAAATGATATTAATAGAAAAAAAAAGATTAGTCATATTAATGAAAAAAATCATTTTTGGCAAACTGTTATTTACAGATGAATCGAAATATAATATTTTCAAATCGGATGGACATCATATGGTATGGAGAAAACCTAATATGGAATATAAGAAAGAAAATTTATGTCCAACGCACGGTGGTGGGTCAGTATTTGTATACTACGAGCAATAAATCACAAAACGTATATTAATATTTTAAAAGAGAATCTTCTCTCTAGTGCAGCTCAAATGGGTTTTAACAATAATTGGATATTTTTACAAGATAATGACCCTAAACATAAAACATGGAATACTAAAGCATGGATCAAAATACCTAGAGATTCCTCCTCAATAACCTGATATTAATATTATAGAGCATGTGTGGATTATCTCGATAATAAAATTCGAAATCAATTTCGTGTAAAGAAACACTAAAAATTGCGCTTCGCGAAGAATGGGCATTGATACCGTCTTCTTATATTTTCAAACTAGTTGAGAGAGAGACTCCAAGCTATCATCAATGCTAACGGTGGTCCAACAAAGTATTAATATTTTAATATTCATTTACTTACAAATTTTATAGTACGAATACTTTTTGTTTGTCATTATTTGCTTAGTTAACGTAAAAATATTTTTATGTTGTATAATTTTTTTTATTAAAAAACAAAAATTATCATAAACAAAGTGCGGGAATGTTAAAATATTTAATAGTATTGATTTAAATTAGATAAATAAAAGAAAGTCTATCAAATTCGTATTTTTTTTATTACAACCCTAGGTGTACGAATACTTTCTACACTCACTGTATATACTCTTATGATTGAAGACTTATGCCAAAGAGTAGAGTAATAATATAAATATATAATAATAATAATAGGTTGTTATGATAATAAAAATTTTATCGATTTAAATCATAACTAAACTGTCCAATATGCATAGCATGATGTCTCTAGTACATAGTACAAAAAATTTACAGTTACACGCCATTCATCAAAATTCAAAACATTCATTTGACTCTCATTAGTAATCATGGCACAAGGACTGATCAATATCTATTCATATGTAGGTGATTTGTATGCAGGCCTATTTATATCATAGAATATTGTACATACTTATTATATTTAAACGGATAAAAAATACCAATTATATTTTTTAATATAATGATAATGAATCTTTAATATATGTATGTATGTAGATAGATACGAATTTGTCTTATAGTTACCACTCCTTGAACTAAATAAAACGTTTTCCATGGATAAAAACAAACATTTTTAGGCAATATTTTGTAATAATAATTAGAATTTTAGTATGCAAAATTTACTAAATATCTTTCTTTGCTTCATCATATATATTTTTTGTTCTATTAAAATTTGTACTCATTCACTCATTTCGGTAGTCTATATTTGTAAGTAAAATTTTCCTTCCAGATTATATTAGAAAGTGATTTCCTCAGAGCTTTAGGGTAGTTATAATAAAGAAATCTATATTTATTTCTCCCCATAAAAAAAAATATTAACCTACTTTTAATCCAACGTAGGAAATAGAAGGCTAATATAGGAAACATTGTTCCACTACTCGTATTACTGTTTACTAGGTTAGGTTTTCTACTAAGTGAAGGAAAAGGGTCAAACAGTTCCATTGCTAGCAAAATACTCCAACACCAATTTACGTGTGGCACCGCTTGACAACAATCGTAGTTGATTTCTCGTGAATTCATCACGATGGTCCAACAGACCTGACTTTATCCTTATCTATTATTATTCTCACCATTCTCTGATACCCCGCCAGCGTAGATCGATAGCGTAGGAGGAGTTACCATACAATTTCCATATTCTTAGAGAAAACGTATGAAGTAGTCAGAATTCCCCACTTTATACCAGTTAATTAATACTTAATATGTCTCTTAATTGTCTCTTACAACATCTTAAGAATGAAAAGAAGTGAGGATACATTTTATTTATTTCGTAAACACATTGAAAATCAATCGTATTATTTAATCGTATTATATGCAACTAGAGAAAAAATTTCTTTAGTAAAAAAATATTTCAATATGAATTGATGACTTTCTTTTGGGACGAGTAAAGTAATAATTTGATAAAATTTATGAAAACTCACCATTCTGGAACTTTCCGTGCCCACTCGCATCTTTTTTGGACATCGTCAAAGGCCTGTCCCAGTTTGCAGCCGGAGCGTCGTGGCGTGTTGCCATTGATGCACACGTAGAAGAACTGGCAGTCCTCAGGGTCGGCATAACGAGGGTGCGTTAGTCCAAAAGTCTCATTAACAGGCGGGCAATCGAATTGGAACACCTCTGAAATATAAATAAATAATAATGAGTACCATATAATAATAAGCAAAATTTTAAAACAAGAACCTGATATTTAAATAGCCCACACACACTCATGCAGTCTATGGTGGAAGTCTATATTTAGCAGAGAACAATTAACAGTTGCGATGATGGTGAAGGATGCATTTGTATCATATCATATAGTAGACGTATAGAGAACTTGAAAATGATGATGATATCAGCAGTTACTCTCCACTGCTTAACATAGGCCACTATTGAGGGGTTTTGCCAGTAGCTACCACTTGGCAAACGGGTTGACAACCGCAGTTAGATTTTGATGTTGTTTTAAGAGGAATACTGCTACCCATCCCTCGACCATTAAGTTCCCTTAGTCGCCTCTTTCGACACATACGGGAAAGGAACGGTTAGCCCATTTTATGTCGGAACCAAACAGCATACAGAACTTACGAGGAGTAATGTAGTAAATATTACATACTATATTAAACAATACCCACCAGCGGCTCCACACCCCTTCTTCTTAGCTTCATCAGGCCACGTGCAGATACCAGTTTTATCATTGTACACTAGTCCATCAGGGCACGTGATCATATTGAACTTGCCATCCACACAGTAGTAGAATTTGCCGCATTCCTTCGGGTCCTCGTGTGAGAAGTAACCATTTTGGCGCGGACAATGTAGCGCAGGGATCGGTGTCTCTGTAGAAATGGACATAAAAATATTTATAAATAGAAGTAACAAACCTGTTCTTGCAACATTATTAATATTTCATGTCATTTTTTTGGACGCAATTGGATAAATTTCCCTAAATTGAATGGGACGATGACAATTAAATATTTTTTAAATCTTTCAATCTAAATTATTTACATGACCGCACAGTGAGTAAAATATTAATATTGGCGGGTGTAGCACGTACGGAGGTTGACTACTTATTCATTTGTTGCAGTCTCCGGCCGTCCACCCACCTTCTTCATGCTCCTCAAATATCACCATTAAATGACTATTTAATACACCATGTACCCACTACTACCGGCATCCCATCACACGTATCCAGTAGCGAGAACGGAATGCCTTAAAACTATATAAAAAAATAGATGTTGTGGCCATTAATTCTAAAACATTAACTACTTAAACCAAATAATAAAACCCAATACATACATTCAGGTTTATTCTGATCGGCAAGAAAATGAGGTAATAAATATTTAGACACGAGAACTAAATGTCAGACCGAGTTCCAATTGGTATTAATTTCATTTAAATGACAAATACCTATAATTTCCCGTTCACGAGACCTATGCAGCTATGCACAATAAGTCGCTCTCGGCGATTCAAGGCCGCGCTTCCCTTGAGATTGGAAAGTTGTTTCGAGTGATGCTGGTCGGTATACAGTTCGTAGCGATGGGGCGCTATACTTCACATTGACACGTACCTATCTTGTTCCGGTATGTATCATGTACATGACCTTTAATAAGATTTACTGCCATAAATGTTTCATTGATTGTCAACGTATCACATCTTAACTGCAGTCAGAAATTTAAAATTCTGTAATTTCATTCATCACTCTTGCAGGTGTTTCCGAGACAAAAGTGAAAAATAGTAAAATGTATTTAAAAAGGGTAAATTCACGAGTTGTTATATACTTAACGAATATTGTACACTGTGACATATTTCGAGATTACTAATTTTTAACTACGCAATACGATATTGTAAAATAGTATGCAAAGTATTGCACTGCAGAATGAATAAAATACTCAAAGACGAAATTCGAATAGAAAAAGCAAGCACTTTAGCCATCTTTTAAAAATAATAATGAAGCAATTCACCCAAGGGTAAATGTAATAAAAAAAAAATCTAACTAATGTAGATAAAAACTACTTAGATGCAAATAAAATAAGATACTGGTGATGAGATTACATCGATACTGGTTTGTATATCTATAAAACTATCGTTTTTATATGTCTGATATCCTTTAATAAAGTAATGAGTTTTTATCTCAAGCAAGATACAATTTACAAATCAAATCTGATGAATGTTTTATATTAGTATCTACAAGTATATACCTATTTTTAACAAGCGGATCTCATACGCAATAAAATATAGTTACAAAACAACTTCAATATTAGCAGTCTCAATTCGTATATTTAAATTTTTTTAACTTATCAATTCTCATTAATTCTGAATTGATTTTGATGATAATTACGTACTGTAATTAAGTAATTAATGAATAGACAGTCTATAGTAATGTAGATACGCGTTAATAATAGTAATGTATATGCTTTATTAAGTCCATTAATTTAAGATTTTGTTTCACAAAAAATACGAAATACGAACTTCAATCATGACAGAATCCAGCGGGTCTACCAATGAAATTCCGAAATTTCGGACTCAATTTCGTGTTTTTGTTTATACCAAAATCGGACCAATAAATGGAGTTTAACATTTCGTTCGTCATACATCCTATCATAAAAGTCCAAAGGAACAATATTTTAACATTTTTAATATTTCCAAACGGCATGTATTATGTAGTTTTAACATCAAATTTCTGTTTCGTTTGGATCCAAAATTTTGGAAAACATTTCATGGTAGGCCCTCAGATATATATGATTTAAAAATTAGACTACCATTTTGATAAAATATATTTTTCTTTCTGACAAAATAAGAATTTTCTGAGTTGGTTTACAAATGACGGATTTCTGAGGTAACAAACCTTTTGTTAAAGTCGGTTAAATTTAAATAATACCCATATGTATTCGTAACTTACAAATTTATTAGTAGGTTATATATAGTTTTAACTATAGATTTCGGACGTAACTTGACCGATATTCATAATGGTCATGATTATGTATGCAATGAAACAACACTGCTTCGTATCAAGGTAAACGGTCAAGTGTTAGAAACTATAGGTACTTATTCTATATATTATACTACATATAACTACGTTCCCCGTGTGATGATGCAGTTAGAATACAAATACGCATCACCAAACAACTAAGAGGCCACTACCGAAACTAAATACAATATATCAGTGTAGGAGAAGAAAAAAATAAAAAAGTCCTATGCCAAGGCCACGTGGTAATTATAGATAAATATCCTCCTCGGTTGAAGACATACCCGTGGTCAGGAATGGAATGTTTGTGGATTACTATGGTTTTCTTTTATGACAAAGAAGGAAAGCGCTGTCGGTATACGCTAATAGGGCACCACTGAAAGAAGATAGATGAAAAAGAAAAGAAAAGTCGCTTAGCTCGTAGTGATAAATTCCATTACAATTACGATAGTTTCCAGAGAGAACCATATATAAGTCGACTTTATAGAGTATATTGTTAACAATAGAGCTTCTAGACTTATTCACTAATAGTCCCTTTCCTCCGGATTGGTATGCCTATGGTAGGTATAGACACTTACGTAGCTTGGGCCGCTGTGAACAATCAAGGTTGAAAGGCAAATCGCACTTCTCCTCATCAGGACTGTAGTCGTTGAACACCATACCGTCTGGGCAGAGCTTTTCTATTATTTCACCGTTTCTGTAATACACACAAGTTTATTCACCATTGGTAATTGTCAAGTGTAATAAATTGTAGAAGAAAGCGACATAACACCATCATACGGGTTACCGGCGAAAGCTGGCCAGTGTAAATGTGGTGCCTCCGATAACTAAGATGTTATCGCCAGTTAAGTCACGTAATACTTCAATAAGAAGGTGATTGAAAAAAATCATTGTGGCTATGGGGTGTATGTACGAGAAATATAAGAGAGGACGGAGAGGGGGGAGGGATTTTTGTTAGTATGAAGAATGGAATGGTATAGCATTTTGTAATAAAATAATAATATTTTTATTGATTATAGCATGATTTTATCGTAACATAATAATAAAAAAACGTTCACGATTTCGCTACGAAAAATTAAATATATGAGTATGTATATAAAATACTCTCCGTACAGTTTCAAATATTTTACTGTTCTATTACCTTGTGATAGTAATGTCATCAATAATATATCGTGCCATTCACTACCATAATGTTTATATTTAATATTTTTTATAGCATTTTCCCCTTTTAAAACTTAGCTTTACAGTATAGAAAAATAAATACTTTTAGTTTGTTCCATAATAAAATTAATAAATCTATAATATCTGTAGTTGATTCTATGCTAAATATACTTATAAGTCACTATAAATACTACTTTTTTTTTTTATATGAAGCACGACTTTAGTCGAATTGAAAAAAATATTTTGCAAAATTCGTATTTCGAAAAGCAAAGGGCATTAAACCAAAGAGGAAAACGATAATTAAATGTTGACGTTTAATATGAAAGAAAAATACAACATGTTTGAGTTTGCACTTATACCAATGCATCCTCAGAGACACTCAATTTCGTCGTTTTATTTCTTTTAGTTTTTTCTGTTTACTCGTACATTTATTTAATGACTGTAGTATTTTATATACTTCTACTACGACATATAAAATAATAAATGAAAGCTATCAAGTTGTCATGTCCAAATATTTGATAAAATTGCTTTCCAGATTCGTCATGCTTTTCGTCCAGGCTAATTTTGGAAATAAACTTTTGCAATATAAACATTTTTATAATTAAGAGTATTTCTATTTGTATTCTTTCTATAGTTTCTCATGTATATATTTGTTTTTTGTTTATATTTTATTATGTATATATTTATAAAACGAAAAAAGTGTTTCTTACAGTTTCTAATACCATAGTATAAACTCGTTTAAGAGCAGAATGCGCTGTTATTTGATTATTTATTTTGTTTTATTATTATATGTTTTTCGAAGAATAATATACAAATAAATAATATCTCCAAAAGTATAATAAGTCTCACCTGCATTCGTAATATTTGTCACACTGTTCAGCGTCTGCGAAAAACCCGTCATCAGGACAGGAGTTTGTGATTTCTGCATCCCGTTCGGCATCGGCTGCAGCGCGCGCTGGAGGGTTAGCCGGCTTTTTCCGCGCATTCTTTGGTACTGCTGATGATGCTAATACTGAAAACAAAATGTAATAATAATTTGTTGAGTTCATTAATTTATCGAGTAACATTTTATACCATACGAGCAAGCATAGTGTAAAACAACCCTCCACTAGATGGAGCGACGACCTCAAATGCTTTGCAGGGAGTCAGTAGTTACAGGTGGCTCAGAACTGTTTCTTTTGGCAGACTATGGGAAAGCCTATGTTCAGCAGTGGACAGTTAATGGCTGAGGTGATGATAATTATATTTATATTCAGACATTTCAATTGTTTAATCTTGTGTTTAAATGTTCATTTATTAATGTAAAAGTATGTTGTAAATTCAATAACAAAATTATCCAGAAAATACTTTTTAATACTGAACAGTAATGCTTTACTCACGAATACGTGCTCTTTAATAATTTAACTTCACGGATTTTTTTTTATAAAATAATTTAAAAAATTTCGCGCCCTTTTTCAGAACGTATTATAATAAAAATATAGAAAATAATAAAATATTTCCTTGATGGCCAGTATTTTGCTAATATTTTTAATAGCATACCTGATTAAGTGCCAGTATTTTTTTCCTTTATTTTTTTTTTATATTCTAAAAAAAACATAGCTATTGCAAATTATTTTAACATAAATAGAAATGACAAATTTAGGAATTTTATTGATCTATAGTCTGTAATTTTATATCACTTCTGAAGTTATTGATATAATTTTTTATCTATGTATCTATTAACTAGAATTGCTCCATGATACATTCATAGTTAGGTATATATCTTCACAGACATTATAAAGTCTACGATAATCAAAAACGTGAATTGATAGTTATAATCATTTCTATTATCGTGAAATACCCACATGAGAACTTTTCTAAATATTAATGTAAATACCATATAACACGTTTAGTTTATTTTATGTTATTGTTCAGTCGTTTGACCTTAGATATTTTTTTAATTACGTTTTGTAATAATTGAATGTAAACAGTTGTTGTAGGTCGCATGTTCCGCTATCAACTTGTTCGCATTGAGCTACGTAGGTTACACAGTACATATAGACTTCCTGCACTTAGTTTAAGAATGTAGAGCACACCTAGCCAACTTCACCATTTCCTAAATAGTTGGTCCCTAAAAGCTGATGTGTTTTTTTTTCTTTATTTAAAGACAAACAGCTTCCGTGACTTTAGCTACATTTATTAGAAAAAAAAATAACCCTATATATGATGAATTTCTGAATATTTTATCAAAGATATATAATTCTGCTCTAAATCTTACAATTTCTCAAAAAAGTTTAAAACTTACATAAGTTGAGTAAGAATGGAAAAAATAACATTTACTAAGTATTTAATAATACAAAAATGTTATCGGTTTTTATACGACTATTACTTGTGCCATGTAAATATAAAAATAAGAATGAAAAAGAAGTGTAACAATTTATTGCAAATACTATAAAATAATAAAATAATAATATGTACACAAAAACAACACAGCTAGATATTTAGTTGTTTTCATACGTCATTCCTGCAATCAATATCAATTAAAATAAAAATGTTGTAACATGGTGTTTTTAATTTATTTTGACTTTATATGACAAATATTTAATTCAAAGTTAATAATTGCTATAAAATTAATCAAAGATATAAGAAAAAGTATTTTAAATTTGAGTATACTTGTTTGGGATTCCCTGTATGTAAAGCGTACAGTGATTGGAAATATATATATATATACATATATATTACTATTTATTACTCATAGAATTAAGTAATAACTAAATATTCGAACATCTTTACTATATTTAAAATCCATCACGTATGGATATATAATATTATATATGAATGTATAATATTAGTAGAATGTAAAAAAATATATATACAAATCCGTATTTTGTTAATTAGAAATCGTAAAACTCGAAGGTTAGAGTTAAAATTAAATTAATTACAAAATGCTACAGGTATATTTTTAGATCGTCCAATTAGTTTCAATTCTAAATTTGTAATGGGTAATAAATAATAATAATAGGTTATATTCATTAGATCCTGACTTATATTATAAATATGAAATGAGATTGTTTATCCCCTCTTGGGGGCTGAATTAACACCATGTAGTTATAGAATGGAAAAGGATTTAGGCTTCGTTTTATTCCGGTCAACCAATATATTCTAATAACACACATGATATTACGTTCTCATTATCATCATTGATGTTTGTTGACGCCGTCCACTGTTTTCTCACTGTGATCATTTCTTGTAATTGTTTATATCTATAATAAGTTTACTGTAATTTTTTAGAGGAAACAATAAAGAGTATCTATCTCTCTATCATCATGTTTATCACCACACACAACAAGTTTATTCTGCCTGGACACTCAGGGTGAAAATATAAATACTTAAAAAACCTAAAATATTTATTACTGCACAATGATCATCATTTACAGATAGTTAAAATAAATACTTTATTATATAATCATCGTAAATTGTAAATAATATATAAATAATAATTAATATTTTTTCAACATTACTATTAAATATTTTTTCAGCATAACAAATTGCGAACTTATTTCAACATTATGCGAAAGTTTCTGCCTGCTCAGAATTCTGTTAACGTTTCGTAGTGACCAAACAGTATTTATGGGTTATTTAAATTTCGAACTTCGGTTGCAGGGTATTGTCCGTACAACGGTTCTGAACCACAATACATATATATATTTTACGTGCTTCTTTTGTTGATATTATTATGCTGTTAAATAAATAGTGACTTCAGTTTTGTAGGCATCGTTTGTTTTGTTGCTATTTACACTGCACGAGTGTGTTGCTAGTCTCGAATTTCAACTCATAAATTAGTACAAAAGTTACTTAAGTGTTCTATTTTTATTTTGTGTATTTACAAATATTTTGTTAATTGTTTTATTATATATTTCTTTGGCTATAGTATAAATATAGAAAAATTAAAGGAGACAAATATATAAGTATGAAGTATTAATTATGACCGTGCGGTCCCGGCATAGAATGGACCACACCTTCATTTCCAGTGGGTGTCGTAAGAGGCGAGTAAGAGAACTTTATAGTCGAGGAATAGGCAGTAACGTCCCTCAAAATAAAGCCTAACTGTGATTACCAACTGTCTAGCGTAGCAACTACTGGCACGGCCCGTCATTATGGGAAAGACCTATGTTCAGCAGTGGACAATTGACGGCTGATATAATGATGATGATGATGATGATTTAACAACATCAGATGGATACATCATTTTAAAGTCGTCTGCTTGGGGACCTGTTTCTACCGTGAAGTAGTTGTGTTCGTATGACTGTATTTCAGTTAGAACGGCAACGAAATTACAGGGTACAGAGGCATAACACCTTAATCCTCAGGAATGTCAAGTCATGAAGGATATCATAGACGACACAGTATACTCTGTTATGTTCATGGTACTGTTCATGTATATCGGCAACGGTTAACACTTTCCATCAGGTGGACCCTCAGCTCGTTTACCAATTAAAGTTCCATAAAAATTTTTTGACAATATTACTCTGGCTTCTTCATTTGAAATTAAAGTCGTAAGCATACTTAATAATAATCTATATTTTGATGCATATATATATATATTTGCAAATATCTATCGTACAATAAGGGTGTAGCAACAACTAGCGCTGATTTCACAGTTACCTAATCACGCGTCGCATTTACCGTCGGTACGCTCGAAGTAGCTTATTAAATAGGTCAATTTTAGACAAAACTTTTACCAGTCTAAAATCTAGTTAAATGAATTAAATTGCCTTAGTGTTTTTTCAATTATGTAATGTACCGTATCTTCTTTACCTAACTTATTCTTGAATCATTTATACTTATATAGACATAACATATTTAATGTCTGAAGATTGATGACAAAGGGAGATAAAAATATTATATATTGTATGCCCAATTTCTAGTGCCATTTGTCTTTACACCATTTTTTTCTTTGGAAATTTAATGCTGTAGTTTGGTCATAGCAAATATATTTATATAAAACATAGCAATTATATTTTTTATACAACTTAAAATGGTTTACTAAGAACTTACCTAATGAAAATTTATAATCGTCGCTTTTAGATATGAACTTATAAAATATGCAATGGTGTCTGTCATGCGTTGTTATTCCTTAAGACTAAATTGATAAATAAACTCACTTTTGTATTTCTCTTTTTTTCGCATTATTTTTTTCAATTTTGTACAAGATAAAGCTGTAGTAGTATAGTACTATTAATGAATAAATATTTTTTTTTTTTTTATTAGTATAAATGTAACGATACAATTGTGAAAGGTCAGTAAGGGTCTTATTGCTAAGAGCAATTTTTTTAAGACTACCTTAGGGTAACGAAATAATTGTTGTACAAAGGGGTATGATAATATTGTATAATTAAGGAAGTCCGAAGAACATTAAGGAAAATAATTATAATATAATATGTAGTACATAGATAAATCATAATTTTAGTAACTATATGTCTGTTCTATGTTTTAAAATAAGACCCTCGATTCAATTTGATACAATAAAGGCATAAAAATATATTACTATCATGACTTTCGTGTTGTTGCCAACTGACCTTTCTAATTTGAATTTTTTTATGTATTATTTTACCTTGATAATTACACAATCTCCGTACAGTTACAAAATAAAATATAGATTGACAGTGGTGGAATATTATGTCAACATCTTAAACAATAAAAGCGTTAGATTTATATTCTGAGACTTGTATTCTTACAGTTGAATATTTATTCATAGTAATTATGAATAAAGATTAATGCTTCTTTGTATTAAAAGTACGAGTAGGTAAAAAAATTATCACCAATAGGTTCTAATCTTCAATTTTCTTCAATTTCCTTTGCCTCTCCTCTGCATACTTTTCGTATGGGGGTTAAATAGTTCATTCAACTTTGAACGATAATCTCGTTCAAAGTTGAATGACTCGTTCATTTTAAGAACTAATTTTTCGTGAAAGCAATAATACATTAGTTCCCAACAATAGGAACTTATGAACACAATGGATAATCATAATAAATTCTATAATGAGCATGGTACCTTTTTATAAGCGACAGATAACTTTCCAAGTTACATAAAAAAAAAAACATTATTCATTTTAGTTCAAAATTACAGAACGGTTACAACAACGAATACCTGATTAATTACTTAAGAAATTGTGTGTACTTGTATAAAAATCAGTAGGTATGTACCTACTTACAGTTATTTCGTGTAATCACTAGTCTGAAATAGTGTATATTTGTTTTATTTATAGTTTAATTAAAAGAATTAAATTGAGAATCTGAAAAAGTTCTTTAATGGGAAAATAATAGGCGTATCTCTACAATATTAGAATAACTGACACTTTTTTAAGTACCCAGCATACAATTTGTATACAATATCACAAATAAATTTTACCTACTTTTACATTATTAGATTAAACAATCCGTAGAACGACACGATCTAATATACATATAAATATTAAATTATAATAATAAATAAGTTAATATTTATTTATATTAATAAATAAATAATAACATATTACTCAAATTTACTATGAAAATATTACATTACAAATTAATTTATGCTTTCCTTAATTTGCTTATCAATTTGGTAATAATTATAGTGACCAACATATAATATTATTATATAATTAATGTTTTGTAATATTATAACATTTATACATATAAATTACTAATATTACATAAATTTAAGTTTTTGACCTACATTTGGGTACAAAAATCAATTGTTTATTTTATATACGTATTTAATTTTTGAAAACTCAATCCATCCATATCTTTAAAGGTCAAAATTTCTTTAATTATTTAAACAGAAAAAAAAATCAAAATATTTTTAAATAACATTACATTCTACAATGTTATTAAACTTGTATTGTTTTATTAACAATACTTGATAAACTACATATTTATTAATATGATAATTTATGTCATAAAGTAGATACTTTATGTATTAAATGGATAAGGTAATACAACAATATAAAATAATCGTATAAAAATTGAACTCACCTACTAAACATAGAAGAACGACTCCTACGCACCTAAACGCCATCTTGCGCGGTGTGAAAACACTATATCTACTTATCAGTCACTTAAATGTCACTATTGTGTGACTTTTCTAACTTATTTTAGGCCTGAATGACGCCCGCACCGCACTCAATGGCGCACTGACTTTAACACTTTTTGTCATCCACTCTTAGCTGCTCAGCGGCTCAGCGAAAGGTTACGTTTTAGCAGCATCTCATTCGCACAAACCTTCCACTGTATATACCTGCACTCTTCATTCACGAGCTAAAGCAAATGGTATACTTCGTATCCTGTTATGATTTTACGTGCACAGCAAGAATATTAGTTGCTGATTCTGAAAAGAGATTCGTTATAGATTGATATTTGATATAGTAATTAGCTAGGCCATTAAATTTATTAAATAAATGTGTATGATAATTATATAAACAAGTTTTAGGCTACCTCTGTGTATACTGGAAAATTACACATTAAGTACTTAATGTGCTTAATAATACTTGTCTAATAGTATTCGAAATTAGTTAACAACTAATTCCAAAATTGTAGGTTAACAATTCCAGTACTTCGTTATTTTACTAATATTTGGATAAATGATTATATTGACTAAATAAGTCATCAGTAGTCATTTTAAATATATTATTACTGGCTCAACAGAGAGACATTAATTATTTTTAAGTTTCATAATAACAATAAGTGTGTACGTATTTGATATAAAAAAAAAGACTCGAAATAAAATGAGACAAAATTATGAAATACCTATATTTCATAAAATGAAATAGCCTCGTTAGTAAAGCAGCCTTAGAGGCTAAAATGCCACTGGGATTAAACAGAAAAATAAGTATAATACGTGAAATTAAATTCACAAGAAATTCGTCCACAGTCCACTGGTCCTCAATAATATTATATTATATTTGTTTATTTCTATTTTTGCACCTCTAAGCGCCAAGCTTTATGAATTTTAATATATGTATATATATTTTAATATATGGTATGGACACAAGCTACATTTTAACCCGGTCAATGAACATTACCGGTCACGGCATCATGTCACGAGTAAAACCTAATCTAATCTAAATTATAAAATTAATAAAAATTACCAGCTTACATTTTATTAAACAAAAGAAATAAGTAAGTGTCGATAAAAAGCGTCGCGTGCGAATCTTTCTAACGTCACTTTCGTGCGCCAGTAGAAAGTGTATCTTTGTCGTATTTAAATGTCTAATGGACTCTGAGACAAAAGATGGGCCATAATGGACTTGGTGCACTTGCTCTTTCTTTAGATAAATTTAGTGGTAATAAATAGAAACATCTACGATATTAGAATTGAAATAATCGTGAAACCGCTTTTATTACATCCTCCATACATACAGCCCATACAGGTTTCAGTCCTCAAACCAGACTTTAGGCCTCAAGGAGTAATTTATCAAAGCAGTAGAAAACAGAAACAATTCCTGATAAGGGCAAAACGTGTAATATAATTAGAAAATAATTGAAATAGTTATAGTATTGAAGTAGTTTTAATGAAGTAGTAATTCTTCAATTAGTAGTAATAATTGAAGTAGTTTTAATTTAATTTTAATACGAGCGTGTCATTTGGTACGTTTCCCATTAGTGATTATAGTTTTCAGCATATTTTCTATTTTCAAATTCAATTAATTTTATTTGTAATTTGTTAACCCTTCTTTGCATAGTGGTGGAAATTTCCATCATAACATCAAACACAAATAACAACAAAAATTAAGAACAATTTCACTTTAAGTTGATCGTGTCTGGATTTTAAATCTTTAATTTTAAATATGAATTATTACCTCGATTTATTTCACCAATAAAAAAAGCATGCAAAGAAAGGTTAAGTAATTTACAAGTTAATATTATAGAAAGCGTCCTTTATTAAAAACATAATTTAATAAGATATTGAGGTATATCCTGAAGCGACTTTTTCTCTAAACCTGTTTTTAAAATTAAAATTTTTGAATTGAATAGAATTTCAAAAATTGAAAATATGAACTAATTTTGTAATAGATTTAATTCAAAATTATAATTCTAATTTATGATGATCCATAAACAAGAAATTTCGAGAAATTATCAAACAAAAATGTGAGAAATGGTGCGTCAAAAGAGATCCCAGTTACATAAGAACCATCTCGAAAAATCGAACACATCACTAACTTATAATCTTCTGTCCTCTGTCAAGAAGAATACAATCATTTGATTAAATTCATGAGCAGATATCCAAGATGCGTACGAATACATGCCTACTCGTATATCAGGTTGTTCGTGTCGTGCAGTCAGCTCGTCTTCTGTCAAAGGAAGGCACTATAAATCTGTCCGTACGCCCGCTGAAATACTAGGACCTGTTGTCTTCACTTTTCAAAATCTCTATATGCACTTACGCATTTATAAAACATAGCAAAGTAAAATCCTTTTATTTTTTTAAACTATATGTTACCCGCGGCTTCGTCTACGTGCTGTCAGTTATATCCTGTGTATTATATTATTTTATACATATAAATCTTCCTCAATAATACAATTTAACGTATCAAAAATTAACTAGATAGATAGAAAATTTATTTAAAATATTTACAGCACACAAGTCACAATATACATAGATGAACATAGACACTAATATAAAATACTAATTTATATCTCTATATATTTAACCCGTGCAAATCTCTAGTTAAAAATAAAATGCTATTCATTAGTAAGCACATTACTTAATAACGGCTGAACCGATTTCCCTGTTTCTCTTTTGGTCTCCATAATAGTCCAATTAATATTTTTAGACATAGAAAGAAAAAATCAGAACTGAGACATCTATTGAGTTAGCTAGTAAGACATAAAGATAATTAATAAAACAATAATATCAATTAATAGCGGAAGGCGTTGGCGTCTTCGTAATTAAACCCGATATGTAAAATAAGAGTTAAGGGAACATGCTACTACCGCGCACCCATACATACGATGCGGGAACGACCATGTTGTGCTAGAATGAACGCATAGTTATAATGTTTTTCGAAACAAATTTAGTATTAAATGATACTATTTTTAATAATAATTTAATAAAGGAAATATAAAAGTACTAAAAATTAAAAGTATATAAACATACTGAAATTATTCCAATGATTTTGTGGATAACCAACAATCAAAATCTCAATCCTCTTAGATCTTCTTCTACATATTGAAGTTGGTTGATATTCTGAATCAGTTCTCTTCCAGGAAAGATACATAAAGATATACTCTATGTATAAATTTATATTGCCCGAATAGAGCGCTTAATTTGTCTTCTTGAGACCCTGGACTCCGGCCAGCTGCACTTCTGCAATTGGCCATTCCCCTTCAAACGCGGAATATGAATGTGCAAAAAAGATATTAAATAAATAACACGAATAATTCATCTATTTAAAAAAATGAACCCATTTTTTATCTGTCGTGTGGAATGTCGTATGCGACCGATTCAGAGGCACCATTACTCTCAACTACTGTTTTATAAACTAACATTTTAATAATTATGATATAGAAAATATATATAATAAAATAGATATGAATAAAACTAATAAAAGAGAACGACACAATGGTTGACTGGAAAATAATGCTATTAAGTCCATATTTTGTACTATATATTTTTGTAAATATAATAAAGGGTAACTAAATAAATAAAGATGCTTACTTTTATCAACATGCGTAGGTCCTGTCACTTAGGAGAGAAATGAAAAATAAAACATAAAATATCACGAACAGTAAATTTTATAGACAAGTAAATTCATTTCTGGTCTATATAATGTGTCAATTATTTAATAAAAATATTAAATACCGTTCGTTTCATGACAGTGCACAAACAATATACACAGTATGTTCATAAATTACTACTACAGTGGAAATTTTAATGTAAAATTTTATTTATTATATGGTTCATAAAAAAACCAGTTACGTTTCATATCCAGGAAGTATTAAAAACAATTTACAGTTATATATTTTTTACCGACTTCAAGAAGGAGAACATTTTAAATCGACTATATTTTTATCATTTTTATTTGTATGATTATAGAATGATTATGATAGAACTGAGTTTGCTGATTTTTTTCATATCTAGAACTATGTGATATGGCTCGTGAATACCAAATTTCATTGAGCTGTATAAAATATGGTTGAATAGCAAACATAAAAATAATTATATCCTGAGATTTAGCTATATATATATATATATATATATATATATATATATATATATATATATATATATATATATATATATATATATATATATATATATATATATATATATGCACTAAAACATACATTAACAACAATAAGTTAATAACAATGTTAGCAAAGGCGAACTTATCTCTAAAAGAGATTTCTTCCAGTCAACCTAAATTAAATATGATACAGCAAATAATATTCAAATACCTTTACAGACATTCATATTTACAATAGATTATTCTGACACAATCAAAGCAATCACAAATACGAAGTGCCAGTAATCATTCGCAATGTAGTCGTAATCATGATGAAGATGAGTCGATATCTAGTCGTGTATACGTCGAGCAAACCCGATGCATTTATCAAGATTGAAGGGCTGTGTTGCATAAATACATTTAGATTTTAGATAACAGGTAAATCTTTATTCACACGCGCTTGGAATAGAAGCATAGATTATCTAATAAAGAGAGTCATAGAGTTACGAATGATGCGGAGTGTACTGGTAATAATACATAATTATAAAATACTTAAGGTAACGTTTATTTTTTAAAATAATAGTTTTTACAGTAATATGTAAAAGTAATATTGAATTAAAATTCATTTAATTAATAATAAATTAATGAATGATATATAAATAATATATATTAAGTAATTTCAAAATACTGTTAAAAAAATGTTTTAAATTTATAAATAAATATTTAGAATACAGGATTAAGAGTCAGGTCGATTCTAAAGCCGTTTTTATAAGCCTATTTCTAAAATTACAGTTTCTTCTTTAATATTATAGCATTATCTTTATTCTAAGGACCAATATATACCTAATTTCTAATCCATTTAAATAAATTTAATCAAAATTATTATAAATTTAGTTTATAATGATCCATAAAACAAAAATTTCAAAACTATCATGTTAAAATATGAGGTTAAAAGTGAATTTTAGAGTAATGGTACTTTAGAATAGACCTTAGTATCTACAGTACTAATACGTGTAAATACAGATTTTTGTATCTGTGTATATAGGTAATGAATGATATAATAACATACTAAACATTTCCTATGAATAAGTTACTGATGTTTTGCCTATTTATTATAATATCACTGTACCAGTCCAGTAATAAAAGCTGACTCATCACGATTTTAACAGCTAACAAATATAGTAATGTATGATTATTTAGTGCAGCATGTTTTCCTACATAACTCCTATGGAAATATCTAAAAAGGGCACAACAACGTATAACTTCGCAAAAGTGCAAGCGAAGGTAAGAAGTTGCCATTAATTTTATTGCTCATATTGTAGAACAAGCATATCCTTTTAGGATTCCTTTACATCCAGGCTAAATCTAGAGCCCACGTATGTAGATATAGGTGAGTACTTGTTTTCATCGTCCGACACTATATAAGCTAGCCTTTGCGACTATCCCTGACATTGCCCTGTAGTACTGTCCTCGTACATTCACCGGCAAAGGATCATCGACGATGCACAAGATCAAGTTTATCATCCTGACAGTTTTGGTGTTCGCGGTCCGTGGACGTGCCGATGGTACCACATCAGAAACCAACCGACAAAAGAGGTTTTTATGTGAGTAATTTTATTTTGTACTTAGTAAAACTACATTGTTTACCAATTGTTGTAATATTTTGTTTTCGTAACGCAGTTTTAATTTTATTTTATTTTTGTACTCAGTACTTTTTTTAGACATTATTTTTCATTTAATTATTTCTATAGGAAATATATCATTTACATTTTCTTTATTTATTTATTTTCATCATAAAAACTAAAATAATAAACAAGCATACAAAAAACCACAGAGGATTGTCTGGAATACCGTACAATTTGCTTGCTATAAAATATATACATATATGTACTCGTTTAGGTTTTATTCATAATAAATAAATAAATTTTTATTCATTCATTCGTACTCGTACATGTACATATTTAACTTTATGGAGATCTTGAAAATAGATAAAATGTGTACTTTTTTTTTATTTGTTTCTAACCAATCTTCTTATTAACTTATATGATGGTAAATAAATTATAAATTTCCAAACTACAAAGTATAAATTGGAAATGAAAACTACATATAGTATATTAACAAATGTGTTTCATTGTATTTGTAAACAAATATCAATACACTTGGTAATTATATACAATAATCTGTACTAGTTACTGAATAAAAATTAAAACTTCTGAAAAGTTTATTGTGAACTCAAATTTAATTTTAAACAATAATATTAGTTGGTAGATTGCTTATTTTATTATTAACCACTTTTCCATTTTATTTTTTTGTTATTAATGATTTATTATTTTTAAAATTCCATAAGTGTATATTCTTAAGGATCCCGAATGATCTCGAAACTAGTTGAGCAGTCTTTACCTAAAATAATTATATATATGTAAGTCATTCTGGTTACTCTTGCAATCAACACAATATTCACTTTCTTGCAATGGTCAGCGATAAATAAGTTGATTTTCCATACGGGATATCTTTCCCATAAGTGAAGTAACTAAATCCTTATTACGTTCGCGCATACTAACTTGTCGATTTCATTTTAACATGCAACTATTAATGCAACTGCAGAACCAGTTGCATAGAGCGACATCATCTCGTAACGACACTAGTGAGTATAATTACAGAAACTCGAACTTTATAAATATACAGAACTCAGTGAAATGTAAACAAACGCAGAATTGACGCGATCATAAGTAGTACTAATAAATAATCGAATAATTTATTGAATGTTTTGTGTTACTAATTTTATTTAAAGGATGTTTCTATGATAATTTTAAAAAAAAAATTGGTCATTTATTCACTGACTTCTAATTAAACTAAAATGATGTATTTCTTTTAAGTTAATGAACGTGTTAACTTTTAAAGCTTAAATTGTAATTACTATTATAAGATTATAGTTTATTTATTAATTTAGAAAATAAATAACTAAACCCCATGTACAATTCAAAGATGTACCGTCTACAACAGTATATATTAATTTGTTCTCACGAAATTAGTTACAAATATTAAGCATACATTTACTAAGGATAAAATTAGTAATTATTTTATTAAGTATTTAAGTAATTAATAAAATATCAACAAATATTTATACCTCTAAATAAGAGAGAGCTTTTTCGGTATTATATAAACATTCAATTCCCAAATTAAAAAAACAGAAAATTGTAGTCGAAAGTTCATTTATGCGTTATATCATGCCTACCACAGGTAATATTTAAATTTGATGTGGTACATTATTGAAAAAATATATAAATTATACTACAAACCATATTCTGTATATAATAATATCATCATACTGACATTATTCCATATTCCTGTTAAAAAAAATAATAACTTCATTTATTTTAATTCGAGTCGAAATTAACCCGGGGAATTACTCGTTCGATATCGAGTATAGTAAAAGTACTCCAGAACCTTCATTTTTTATTATAACAGAGAATAATTTAATGGTACAAGTATGTTTATGGAATTATTTATAGGGCACTTTACAAACCAGCTGTGAAGCTGCGCGTATTGTGTACATTTTATAAATTTATGTTCTATCACATAGATGGATAAAATAATTAAGAAGTAGTTTGAAAATCATGGTAGCAGATTACAGATACATGATCAAATCGAAATGTTGAGCATATTTTTAAGAGAGTGTACTATCATTGACACTGAATATTGTTCCCAAAGAACCATGAGTAGAAGAATGTACAATAAAAAAAAAATTGAGAACACTTTAACATGTCTATATACACGCACAATAGGGAATTTTATGAACTTACTGTGTTTCTCGTTTTCGACAATCGTTTTAACTTTATAAGGAAGTCTTTTTCAGGAGGCATAATATTAGATCCGATTATTAACAATTCCTTTTGCCCTCCACCCTCATAGACGTCGGTTACTACTTTTCGTCAGATGGGCCATTTGCTACTAACCGGCCAATTATGAAAAAAACGGAGGTAAAGAAGTGTATAAATAGTCTGTTTCTGGCATCTCCTTAAAAAATTACTAGATATTATCTCTACGCTTAGTTTGAGATTCTATAGTAGATTTTTACCAATATCTTCGTATATTAAAGATTATACAGTATAATATTATTTGTAACTATCAGCTTATATATTTATGCAATAGAAAATAATAAATAAAAATTCATAACAATCATTGAACTCTCTGTTTGTTTGCTAAGTTTTAAATATCGAGTAAATATATAAAATATTTACTCAGTGTATAAATAAACACAAATTCTTTATTATCAATAATACATGTTTTCGTTTTGTTCACCCATCGCGTATTATTTGTGACTCGATGAATAAGTAGTTGTATTCAACTGTCAATGTTTCTGCGATCGATTATATTAAGATCTTTTTGATTCATATCAAAATGAATAACAGATTTTCAACTTATGATACCAAGATTAAAGTGTTCGTCTGCAGTTCTCGTGTATATTATTTTTTGCTTATTTTTTCACGTATGTAGGCACTTATACATATAACTAAAAATAATACACACAACTCTTTTTTTAATAGATCTGTATTTATACTAGTGTATACTTTTCTTATCTACGTTTCTATCCTATTATTATAGCCTATTTAAATAGTTATATATTAAGAACAATTATAAATAGATACTCTATATAATTCCTCTTAAAAGATTAAGTATAGTAAAATACTTACCCGTACTATAAGTTATTAGAAATAAATTATAAATAATAAGAGGTAGCTAAAATTGGTCACTAGCTAATTGGTAGCTACTGGTAGATGAAGATTAAAGAAGAGTAATCATTAATAATTTAGTTAGAGACATTATAATGTAATATACGAAATTTTACCTATTATATTTTATTACATTTATGAAAAAAAATGCCTATAAATAAATTTTACTCTACAACAAGCAGGAATTTACTCAGCAAAGAAAAACAGCTATCATTTCTTACATAATTAATATAAGTTTTTTTTTATACAACTTAGAATGGCAAACAAGCACGGCCCACCTGATGGAAAGTTTCACCTATAAATAGCATACCATGGATATAACAGAGTATACTGTTTCGCTCATGATACCCCCAACAATTCCTGAGGACTCAGATGTTATTCCTCTGTACCCTGTAAATTCACGATTCCCACCCTTCAAACAAAACTTCTATCGATTGTTAAAAGAACTATTAAATTTTCATCAGGATTAATAAAGATACTACGTAAAGATACTACGTAACATATATTAAAAAAATACGAATTGAGAATCTCCTCCTTTTGAAAGTATGTTCTAAAGGTTATTGCCCGCAGCACACACTAGTTTATAATCAAGTGAACTATGACGTTGCAATATTCGTGCCATATTGCATCTTTATCTTATGACGTTGTAACATCTATAAAAGCTTTTAAAGAAAATACGAGTGTAATATTGTGCATTATGTGAATAAAAAAGGTCGATCCTGTGTTGGGAGGGGCGATAAAAAAAAAATATATATTTGTATATTATAATTTATTCTGTGTCATTGTTGTTATAAAAATCTATTGATATAACTACTATATTGCAGAGCAAATATCATTACATAAAAAGGACAGCATAGGCCTTTTAAATGTGTCAATGCTATGTAAAGCGAAAACTTCTTTATTTTATTTATATAGTATTTTTTAACTCAGAAATTTTTGCAGGCGTATCACATACTTTATAATTTTTTACAATACCTTAGCATAGTTTCATTATGATCCACTCAGTGATCCTGCAATAAATAAATAAACACATAAAGGACAACTATTCATTTTTATTTATATATCATAGACTATGCAACGATTTTGGTGATTGCTTTTGAAAGGAATAAAGTTTAACCCCGCATTTTGTAAAGCAAAATCTTCATTTATTTTGATCAAGTTTCGTTTATATGGTAATGATTGCCACATGAGATACTCGGTACCAACATCACTATCGTGTTAACATCACCTTCAAAATGTGACGCAAGTTATTTACGTTCAGAATTTATTTACATTATTCATACATCATTATCAATAACAGTTACAGCAATATTCAGTAATGCGATGAACTTTTATGATTTTAAAAAGAAAGCTCTTGATGTACCTGTATTATTTGTGTATTATTTTTTGCATTACATACATTAAATGAATGCCATGTAATCCTGGTACAAAAAGCGTCATCCCATCCTTTTCCGTGGGTGTCGTAAGAGACGATTACAAGTAGAGATTGATAGGCGTCACTCTAAAACTTGACAAATAGCCTAAATACGGTTGCCAACCCGTCTGTAAAAATTAGCAACTCCTGACAAAGCTACCCTCATGAGGGAGGCCTATGTTTAGCAGTGGACAGTTAACAGCAGTATAATGAATATATATTACATATGTATAAGTAATTTAAAAAAAAAAAAACTTCAGTACTTTAGTTTAATTAGAATTAGCTCATTGCTTTAGTACTTTAGTAGTAGTGTTTTAGTACTAAAGCAATGAGCTAATTCTTTGTAAATGTTATTACACACGTCTTGGCATAAAAGGTGCTTAATCTATTTATGTATGAAACGGCCACTGAGAGAAAGTTTATTGGCCGATTTTAAATATGACTTCTAATTCGAGAACACTATATCTCCTGAATAGACTAAACGGTAAAAAGCATATCGTATAAAAATACCCACGATAGCGATAAAAGAAATGTATATATTATAGAACTGCCGTTACATGTCTTACTCGCCTAATGAAAATGCTGTGTAAATGATATTCTCATAGATAAAGTATCCTAGGTTCGTCGGTATGTCGCGTAGGTCCTATAGTAAATATTAATATGTATTGTAACCGGTACCGGACAGCCCTGTAACGAATTTTCTGTAATTTCTCATACCTGTCCGGCATCATTAGTGGTAAATCTTTTATGTAGGTACATTACTAATATCAGTTTGTTATATAGATCGAGTTTGATGTACTTAGAATGTTTTATGACAGGGAACTAACTGTGAAAGCTCTCTACGTCAACCAAATTGGTGACAATATTAATGCCATGTAATATGTATATTGCCATGTGATTCTGGTATCGAATAGGTCATCCCTTCCTTTCCCATGAGTGTCGTAAAAGGCAATTAAGGGAACTTAATGATTGATGATTTTTTATTTGGATGATAGTGGAATGGTAACCCTGCCTGTAGTAACGGTATACGCTGGCGAGGCACCAGTGAAGGATGATAGGTTAGAATAAAAAAGGCAGGTCAGCCCACCATGATGAATACGCCTTGAATTCAGCACGATGAATCACGTGGACGTCGACCTTACAGGGCATATTACTAGCAATGAGACTGGTAATCCACATTACTAACAACCCCTTCCCCCATAGTCGAGGGTTGGGCAGCAACGTCTCTCTTAATACATCACCAAATCCTTACTATGGTTGCTAACCCATTTGCCAAGCGTAGCGACTACTGACAAAATGCCCTTTATTGAAGAGGCCTATGTTCAGCAATGGACACTTAACGGCTGATATGGTGATGATGATGATGATGATGAAGTCAGATCACAGCGGGAAGCAGGAAGTGTCCATACTGTACTTCAGCACTATTATACTGTACTTTTCTACAACATTAATAGTCGACAAATATCTTTTACTACCCCATAAGGGAACACGGTCATAAAAATAATTCTTTTATTTTTATTTATTTATATAAGTTTTTTTTCAGTTTACGATGAAGAAGGCCACTTAGTGAATGCATATGGAAACTCATTATTGCGAAACTTCTTTCTAAACCCCAACAATTATCCTTTCTTCGGTGCTCTATTGAGTCCCTTCTTCAATTTCCTTCGGGTAAGTGACGCATTATTTGACATCAAGTGTAATATGTATGAAATTATTATTATGGGAACCTATAATTGAAGTGATTTCACTATATATCACTATTTAAAGTTTTTATAATTATGTATACTACTCAATAGCATTAAAGAATTTGATAGAAATGAGATTGTAAACTCATTTCTTTCAATTTATTTATTGAACAATTCCTTCATTAAACAATATTAAACAAGATGTTAGATGAAGAATTATGGCAGAAAAAAAACATACATAAGTCTAGTTTCATAATTGTTTTTAACAACTTGTATACTACTTTTATATTAAAATAAAAAAAAAATCTGTGTACTTAATTTGAATTTGTATTGTTGTTTAGACGTAATTGAGTAACAAACATGTTTAACATAACCTTTCTATTTTCACATCAAAACTCTTGCCGGATAGGCAACCAAGTGTCAAAGGCTTCTATCCTTACATAGGTATACTTACATACGTTAATTAGTTAAGTTCTCTTACTATTTCAAATCATTTATAGTATATTTTTAAATAAAAAAAGAAATACTATCATTATTATAGAATGAATTAAAATAAATAATTTAAATTTCGCAGCCATTGAATATTGGCGGTGTCCCGGCATGTTATATGATCCCCGTATCAGATAATGTGATTCAAAACATAAACAAGGACCCGGCAAACCAAAACAAACTTGTCCTGTCAAGGAAAGAACCGGTCATTGAACCTAATGCACTTTGTGCTGGAAGAAGAGGTTCCTTCCCATCTCCCAAGTCGTGTCGGGCATTTCTGGATTGCTGGGATGGCTGGGCGTTCCAGCAGGAATGCCCTCAAGGTTTATTGTTCTCCAACGCTGGTTTCTGTGACTACGCTGATAATGTGGATTGCAAAAATAGAATGATTCCATGTAAGTATTGCTTTTTAAACTAAGCAATTATAATGAGAATAATCTTTAAAGAACTGTTTAGGATTTTTTAATTAAATTGTACAAGTTTAATTTTTAAGGTTTTTATATATATATTTTTTTTTTATGTAAATTGTATGTGATTTTTTTATTCAGTTTCTAAGTCGGCTAATTAAATACACTTATATTTTTCAAATTTAGTTAATATAATTACTATTCGTACTGTAGATTTTTTTAATAAACTGAAAAGAAGCATAATTTTTAAATAAAAGAAATGAACTATTATTTAGTATGTGAAAAAATCTTATCAACTGTAAATAGACTCTACAAAATGGATACAGAATAAAAAATATATCATGTAATATACACACAAAATACAGTCAAATTCAAAACTTCTATTAAAAGTCGATTAAAAATAAAAGTTGCGTTGATATTATTGGATATTATATTATATATATTATATAAAAATGCGTCACACAAATCACATCACAAAGAAAATCACCTCATTCATCAAACTCTAATGGAATAATAATAATAAACACTCAAAGAAAAACAAAATATACAAAAATCTTAGAAAATCCTAAGATCAGAGTCCTCAGGAATAGTAACGCATGAGAAATGTATACGCTGAATATCACAGTGTAATCTATGAAATCCATGATGCTGCTCATGTTTATACGCGATGATTGCCAATTTCCATCAAATTGTTTGCCATTCCAATATCATAAAAATAAACTAAACAATTATTGGTTCTTCAATTTGTCCTCAATTATCGAAAAACAATTTTTGAAATCCGAATAATATGCCTTTCCTTGGTTATAAATTCAATCCTGATAACATATTCAATACTGAGTAACAGTACGAACATTTATATACTATAGGTACTATTGGTTATGGTCAGGTAATTTTTCTATATATAATTATGTATCTATTTCAAATAATAAATAATTAAATATTGTGTATCACAAAAAAATGACTTTGAGTTGTAATAAAACCATAGAAATAATTAAATATTAGAAATTAGTTACTTTGATCTAAAAACTAAACTACTAAACCGATTTTAATAAATTTCTATGGGACTAATCTGTAAGTATACTCTTTTAGATAAAAAAGATTTTCCAAATCAGTTTAAAACTGATGCAGTTATGAGGTAACAAACATGAAAAACAACCGTATTGAGAATCTGCTTCTTTTTTAATTCGGTTGAAAATTTAAGTATGTATATTATATTATATATGATATTATTATAATATATTTATAATATATATTTAGTATATATTTAATAGTAAATATATGTTATTTAATACTTCTAGTAAAAGCTCTACTTACTTTAGATTTACCTAGATGGCGCTGTGTGATATATCAAACAATATTACTGCAGAATCTATACTTGTCTATTACTTAAATTAGTTTACACTACTCTTGCAAAAACTAAACAAAGTTTACTTTAGCACCCTACAACTCATGTGTTTATGCTTATGTCATATGACACATGGATAATATTCACATATATTATGTCATATAATGTGCATAATAAGCTTCTCCATAGCGCACAGTAAACATATTCAAACAACGCTAAATACCTAATATTGTGCAAATGACATGTGTGACCATAATACTGATGTCGACAGATGGAAATGTCAAGTGGATATTATGTAAAGGCATCAATTTGTAGCCAGCGGTTACACAATTTGAACACATGTTTGTAACCTTTATAATTTTATGCATCGCGTTCGAGTCACCTTAAACATCCGCCTGTTACCATAAGTGCCACACAATTACACTAGTTGCCTGGTCTCCAAGCTACGATACTATGTTATAAGAAACCAGACAACAAACATCTTAGATATTTTTAATAATCATAATTCAGAACATCTGGATCCGAGGTAATTTTAAAATATTTCGTTTTAGGAAATTTAGAAATTAACCCTAACGAGTATTGAACCCGTCCCAAGTTCAGTTCTCAATTACGCAAAGCAACATCTGCGTTACGGAGGTCGTATATCAAATAATAAAAGAGCATGGTCACACAACTGCCAAAAATGGGATGATTTCCTTCTAGTATAGTATTCCTTATAGTATATACGAAACTATGTCCAAAAATTTGTAAAAATATTAACCTAAACAGGAATATTACGTCCCCATTCACTCTTGGAGATATGTTTTTTTTTTTTATAATAGAGATCAGTGACCTCATTATTATATCCGATATGTCGACCTTCTCTCCAGAAACAATCGTGCTTTAATTTCTGATAAATTTATCAAGATTGGCCGATTCATCTGACTTAATCCTCACCTACGAGTAACATCTCTCATAGGGGGCAGGGACGGGATTATTAGTAATGTGGATCACCAGCCCCAATGCTGGCAATATAACTTGTACTAATACTAGAGTAATAAAGAATACTAGTACTAAAGTACTGTGGGCTAAAGCTTACATGACGTAATATGATGTAATTGCAACAGTTTTATAATAAACAGATACTATTGTAGAACAAAGAGACAATAATATATAATATTTTTTGATATTTTCAGCATCAAGTCGATCCACGTGCAGCAGGGATTTTGAAACTTTTAGAAATCAATACAATTGTAACGAATTTTTCGTTTGTGTCAATAGACAGCCAATTAAATTCAAGTGCCCGGCGAATCTTGCTTATAGTGAGGTAAGTACATATGTGTAAATATAATAAACTCATTTTTTCCGTAAAATAAAAAAAAGTGTAATATAATTTTAAAAATAATTGTAATAAAATTTTAAAAATAATAATTATTCTCTTAACTAAAGAAAAATATGCAAAAATAAATTGAGGCTACCATACTTGATTGACGTACCGTATATGTAAATATAGGATGCTCAAAATTATTGTATGTCGTATCTCTTAAAGGTATACTAATAAATTTCATTTCATTCTGTATACACTTACTAAAACACTACAAAATTACTCGAACCGTTTAAATATTTCAACAATACAATTGCCTACTCGTCTTAATTGCAGTATTGTTTGAGATGCGCATTGCACCTTTTAATTTTTTCAATACATCAAAGAAGAAATAACTTCAACCTTGGCGATGACATTTCATTGGGAAAATGAAGCTCGCCACTCGTTTCGCAGACATTACCAACCGGGAATGCCCGACAATTCAAGTGACCGACCGACCTCGCATACGAGGCAACCCTGTTTCACCATCCGCATTCTCCTTTCAATACAAGTGACACATGAAAAACAATGTTTAAAATTGTAATAATAATATATCACTCTGAAACGTTGATGGACACTAAAATATTAAAGTATTTTTATGTTAAAACAAACATTTATCTGCAACTTCGTATGCGTGGATTTTGGAGTAGACATTTACTACTAGATCATACATCAGACTTCAAATAAGATCTTCAGGAACCTTTAAGGAAGGAATGTGAAAACAGCATTCAATTTAGTGCAATAGTTTTTGCGTAATACCGGAATTATAAAAAAAAAAAGAAACAGATAGAAAGACAAAATTCTTAAAAGTATAGTTTTCACTTTTATTACTATTATTAAGACACCTCTTATATAAATTTTTGTATATGCAGACGGACAAACATCGTCTAATAACAAATACCTACAATTTTACGATAATTAAATCCGTGTAGAAATTTCCAGAAATACAAATTTAATATATGATTTTTCTACGTGTTCTTTCAACGTTTGTTCTACGCAAACGGCCGAGTATGGAAGTCAGATTATTTTAACACGGGGCATCGTCTACTCCCGATTCTCTTCACTCCCAAAAAGAAAAAAAGTTACATTATTATTCTGTTATAATTTACATCTATGATCAAAGATGATTTATAGTTAGAGAGTATGGATCATATTTAGTTGAATATGCTTTACTTTTTCACTACCGAGTTGTCACAAAAGTAAACTAGAGAAACGATACACAACACATTGTGCAAAAGCAGTGCCTATGAGTAAAACTCGCAAATAAAACACCTGATCAGCGTAGTGATAGCAGGCTAATAGCCTCCTCATATGGGGAGAGATCAATACCCATGCTAGCAGTAGGTTAATGAGTTGTTACGAGGATGACTTTATTGCCCTCAAAACAGTTTTTGGATTTTTTAAATAACTATCATCCAATAAAATCTAAAACTATCTATTATCTAATACAAACAAGACTGTTCCACAACAAAATTATTTAATTTATGACAAAACCATTATTCTGATATAAAAACCAAACTACTAAACAGATTTTGATTAAATTTCTGTAGGACTGATTTGTAGATACATCCTTTCAGATAAAAAAATAACTTTTCAAATCCTTTTACAACTGACAGAGTTATAAGGTAACAAAAAAACCTCCTTCTTTTTTAAGGTCGGTAAAAACAGTCCACTCCATGTTTGATAGTTATTTCGATTACTATAAAATAAAATGTATTTAACAAGCTCACATTTCGCCGAACATATTTTCGATTCCAAAGAATTCTTGTTTATGAAGTTTCAATAATACAATTAAAATGATATTTTATAAACCGCTCTATAGACCTTACTATGTACCAGCACAGATAATATATCTAACTATACTAGTAATGTTAGCAATAAACTTCTATCGAGTTGTCAGGTATTGCTTGCCGTTGATAGAACGATATCCAGTTTCTTCTTTGTTATACCGCCGCTTCTTTTTTGAGCTTTAAATTAAACTCTTGACTGTATGAAGCTAAACAAATTGCGATATGCTTCACTAAAGTAATAGAGATAATGAAAGCAGATGTTTTCTCTTAAGCTTTTGTCATTAGTCAGTTAAATTATTTAGTGAAAAGTTGATTAGAGAATTTCTAATCTATTTTATGTAATCGTTTTACCATCTAATCAAAGTTAATCAAACTTTGATAATAATTTATATTATTTACATAAAGAATATTTAAACTATCAGACCGAATTTATTAGGGTATCTACATGTTTTGTAAATAGTTTTCAATTCTCTCCAACGAAACGTTCTTGGTATGATTATATAGATTTTTTTATATGTTACATTTTCTATATCTTATATCGCAGAAAATATAATGCTATAGAAGTACTTACATGAAGCAATATTACAATTCTTTTTATCAATCTATAGGACTTTCTCTCACATGAGTCCATAATGTTTCCATAGTAATGTTAATCCCCATATTAATTTTATGCTATCTAGTCATCCAATTAAATTTAAAATTTACCAGCATCCGCTTGCTATATTGTGCACACGCCTCTCATTCAATAACATTAACTTTTTTCGAAATTAATGACAATAAAACTAGTTTATCAGTAGGTATTTATTTGATGCGAAACAGGTTCTTTCGACTTGTTTTCCTTAATTTTAACCTTGCTTGTAGATGATACCTAAAAGTACATAGGTACCTAACCAGTTTTATTAATTCGTGAATTTTCCTAATTGTATATTTATATTTTGCAATTTTTTTTCGTATAAGTAATTTTATATTAATTGTGTTGTAGTTTCAATACCGGTTTCTTGGTATACAGGTTCAAATATTCAAATCAGCTATTCAATCTTTTATTTAATTATTATAAGAGTATTTGCTATTTGGAATTATTATACTATGATTACCAATAAATAATGTACTCGTATCTGTACCTCCTATCCTTTTAATAAATATCCTCTTATTTACAAGTACTGTACCTACTTCTTCTTCTTAATGCTTAACGCCTTTCAGCGAGATGTTACATTTAACATCAGGTAGTTCGCCAGATTTTTTAATGGATGATTAATAGAATGATAACGCAGCTTGCGCTGTCAGGCTGATGGGGTACTAAATTTTAATAAGGTAAAAATGTATAAATCAACAATGTTACAGAGGCTTGGAGTTTGCGACTATGCGGACAATGTTAACTGCCGAGTATACCAAGCTGATCTACCGGTAGAAGCCACTCCACCACCTCTGCCAATCTCCACACCAACTATCCCGTCCAGCAATGTTGAACCGACGATACCCAGTTTACCTACATTCGCACCTAGCAAAGATATGGGGAACACGTTTATCATCAAAAATTCGATATATAACAGCGAAAGTAAGTAAATAAACTAATAACGCATATCGCTTCGTGTAAATGAGGTCAAGTCCTCATGGGCCCACCATGAAATAAAATTCTGAATTTTCAGACTCAATTTCTTAATTGCGTTCATATCGAAATTAGCCCAGTACTTATCCGCATCTTACCATAAAAGTATAAAAGAATGATATTTTAATATTTTGAAACGTTATATATTATTTAATTTTAACATCAAATTTGTGTTTCCTTCAGCCCCGAAATTTTAGAAAACATTTCATGGTAGGCCCTCTGGGTTCGATTCTTGATCGCGCCAATTTAGTAAATGTTTTTTTCTAAATTACCTGTCTGTACAAAAAATTTAATCTAAGTGTACTGGATTGTGCCCCCATATATTTATTATCTGGTACCTCATAACACAGCTTGAGAACCAAGCAATTGGTGTAATTTTGTGCCCTCTTATTTTATAACTTCACTAGTTTTTTCCCCCTACTTTGTATGCATGGATCTCAAAAGCAGGTAAACAAATAGTATGAGTAATTCAAGATTGCCATTAAGATTAAATATACACCAGTATTTAAGTTAGATCTTCAGAAATACAAGTGTTAAAACGACATTAAATTTGGTGCAGTAACAAACAAACCGACAGAGATAGACAAAATTTCTAAAAAAAATTTGATTTGGCATCTATTGGTCTTATTAAATCACTTCTTCTTCTTAAATATCTTTCATGTACAGACATTGTTTAGTTACCATTGTATTATATTAATAAAAAGTACAATAATATTATTAATAATCCCCCCTTATGGGGGAAACCTATGTTCAGCAGTAGACAGTTGACTGATATGACGATGATGAAGGTAAGATTATATCGTTATACATACATATAGATAGATAGATAGATACTCTTTATTGTTTCCTCCAAAAGATTACAATAGTAAACTTATTATAAATATAAACAAATACAAGAAATAATCAGAATGAAAAAATAATGAACGATCTTACCGCTAAAAGCGATCTCTATTTTTTTTTTGTTTGCTTTCGTATTTGTACCGTGAAACAGCTGTACTTGTATGACTATGTTTAGCTCGAAGAGTGGTTTGTATATGTGTGTGTGTATGTGTGTGTGTGTGCAATAAACCTACAGGGTGGATATGCATAACGCCTTAATTCTCAAGAATAGCAATACACTGTGTAATAGTATTATGTGATGTGAGCATTGTCAGTTCTAGTAGATATTTATTTATGTCAAACCATTTCTCATATTAAACCCTTTAAAAAATACCTTCAGATACAGTTTGTTTTTGTTAATTTGTTTGTTTTTACCTATTTTAAAGTCCATCCTTTCAGATAAAAAATAATTTCCCAAATCTGTTTATAATTTATGGAGTTATAAGGTAACAAACATAAAAAAATTTAAGCGAGAACTTTCTCCTTTATTAAAGTCGGTTAAAAAATTTGAGCACATTTCGGCAAAGCATTTACTGAAATTGTTAATTATTATTATTCAAATTTAGAACTACATCTTTTAAATATCTTTTATTTAACTTCCAGGTTTGATTGCTGGCCACGAAGCGTCGTCGCGTGAAGATGCAATCCGCCAACTGCTCTCTTCTTTCATCAAAGTGGAATGATTATATTACATCGATAGCATCTAAATAAATTCTGAATTCATCTGCGATACAATGACTTTGAATAAGTAAATCTAACGGATAATGTAATTTATGTTAAGAAATTAAAATTAAAAAACCGCATGGAAAGATATTTCAAGACTTTAAAAGTTAAAATTAGAATTTAATATAACAATAATAATAACAAAAAATTCCTCACATAATCATATAAATTATTTTCATTCTGATAACTTTAATTATATATTGATAAGAGAAATTAGTGAGTTTGGCTCATATTTACGTACCAGAATATTTATGATTGGGCCACATTTCACCAAATATTTTTGAGTAATTTTTGAAGGAGACTGTCCTACATCTAGATCGCCACCTATTAGTTGATGATGTCATAGATAATATAATACTATACTAGTAATAATGTGTTCACTATCATCGAAAAGTTAGCCAGAAATTTACATTAACACGCAAAACAGTTTATTTACAACCAGATTTTATTCTTGTGAGTCACTGGTGTTGTGAGTGTTGGGTTATAAAATTGTAATCTCACGTCATTTTTAAGTATTTTAAGCAATTTAAGAAAGACTGGGATTATTGCCTTTAGATATTGGATATCTTATTGCCTTTAGATGTTTTATTTTTAATAATTATTTTGTTGTTGTTGCTACCTTCTCAATTTTGTCAAAAAAGAAGTGGCGTTTTTTGGATAAAGTCTATAAATGTTGCTCACTAGTCCGTTTACATAAAGTTCGGAAGTGACTAAACATACCTACTATTTTATCATTCTTAAGCATCAGGATCTCTTTATCGTATCATGGCTCAGCGTGAATGATTCACGATTAATTTTGTTACTTGCATTATACTAGCTGTTTCCTGCTATTTTGCTCATATGTCGTATCCTATGTGTTACATTAGGAGCTACTCGTGTACTAAATTTCACTCTAATCCGTTCAGTAGTTTTTGCGTGAAAGAGTAACAAACATTCGTCCTTACAAACTTTTACATTTATAATATTCATTTTATTATTTAATTTTTTTGTCCAATTTGCAATAGAAAAGAAACTGATAACCCATCTGATGAAAAGTATTAGAAATGTCTATGGCATAAAGAACACTATGAATATCACAGGATACACAGTGATACCTAAATATAGGTGTCACCGTGTATACTAAAAATCCTAATAACACCATTGTCTACAGAACGTGGACAATCTAGGGATAAAAAGGAGTGTTGTAACATTGTACTTTTATTCCATTAACACCCAAAAATATATAAACGTTATTATACATTAATTTATATTTTTATTCCGTTTAAAAACTTTTATTTTATAGCAGTCGGTGCTAATGTTATGCACAGTCGCCGGATCAATTTGTAGATTGTGAATAATTCCAATTTGCCTCTGTTGCAACTCTCCTAAGCCTCACCTATTATTATTTTCTTGACAGAACAAGTTCTCTTTACATTTAAGTGAAAGCGTTTATTTAATGGTGAAAATCATAGTCTATATTATAGGTATGTCTATTGAAATTGCAGAGAACAATCTTTATGGTCTGCTAGAGATACTGATTTGTATAGTTTGACATAAAACTAATAAATGACATAAATATTGAATAATCGCAAAATACTATTTTTTTTTTACGTAAATCATCGTCATGCAAACTATAATTTGTGAAATCACGAAACATTTTGCAAGTGTTAATTATAGTACGCACTAGTGAAATTTAAAGTCTATTTAAGTAAAAAAATTATATAAGTCGCTGCGATTTTTAATTTTTCACGAGAAAATAAAGTATTATACTACTACGAGTCTTTTATTATATCAACTTTTTAATTCTATTTTCTCGCGAATTAGCTCTCAAACTAAAGGCAATGTTTATTTCCTCATTGGTTTTTCACAAAGAGGAAAATAAAGTAGACAGCGATATGTCCTTCTCGGTGATAAATACTTACTGTGTGTATGCCAAATTGCTTTAACTGTTAAGGCGCCAAGGGATAGTAAATAAACAAACATACAAACTTACTTTCATATCCATAAAATTAGTAAATACTAGCTATATCTCGTTGCTTTTCCTGCGTGAATCAGTACATGAAGTATCCTATGTGCTAAGTTTGGATTTATATCCAAACCTAACCTAACTGTGTATTTAATTTCATTAAAATCTGTTTAGTTGTTATCGCGTACCATCCATCAATACTAAGAAAGTTTCGCATTCATAATATTAATAAAATAATTAAGGATTTATTTCATAGTTTTGTTCTATAAAAAAGAACACTAGTACTGAGATATGTATAAATAAAAATAGTATGATTACTATTTCTCCTGTTCTCTGGACCCCAAACTAAAATACCCTCTGTCATAAGAATACGAACAAAGAACATTTGAACACTCAATTCAAAACAGTCAATCCCGAGTCTATTTAGAAAAGTTAATTTCATAAACTGCCCTGGACAATCCTTTTCATTTACATCCAAAAAAAAAACCACTAGGCCTAAGATGAAGCTGATTGGTTTTCTGAACTTTAGTTTTCATCTAATAAATATTGTTTTAATACTTACTATAAATAAACTAGAAACGTGATAAACTAAATAATTACGCAAAAGAAGAATATAAGTAATTTTATTTACATAAATCCGCATTAAAATACTATCTTAACTTAAATTTTACGTTTATGACTAAATCAACATGTATTTCGACACAGCACCAACATTTAAATGTTGGCACCATGTCAAGGTTATCTCTGAAAGTTCTTTTTGGCAACAGTAGTTCGAGATAAAATACTTTCGAAAACAAAATTCCTACTTTAGCAAATAAATACGTAACCGTGTGTACCTAACACACTAATATATCTTATACCGGTAAATCATAATATAGCACATTATAATTTCAACAGTATTTGGTTATTTACAATTTGGTGGCTGCAACCTCCTTTCAAAATACTTTTCGAAATTATTTTAGAAAAATGTGTACAATATTGCAACTATTTACAATACAATATGTTATTTAATGTGCTTTTTATTATTCCTAATTAACCAAAAAGTTTTAAAACAATCTCATTTTAAAGTAGAAGATATAAAACTTGAACCCCCAATTAATTTTTCTCTGAAATTAGTTGACGACACTGTCGCAGACTTTCGAAACTAAAAGCCTAGGCAATAAATAAAGTATCGAGCGCCTCTTCAGACAGAACGAACCTCAATTTTAAATTACTGACTTTCGAACGATTGTTATCGTTGGATGGTATTTTTGTTGACGTAACCTAATTTTATCTGAAGAGGCTTTATATCAAGTCATAAAGATTGAATTTCAGTCTGTCCTTGGAGCCGCTCCTTGTCATTCAGAATCCCAACTTCTTCAGTGCTTTCAGGTCGACATCGCCGTAGTAATCCTCGCTGTAAACCATTATAACAATTCAAAGACCAAGTCAGCAAGCAACAGATGTCATTTTTTTTTCGAATTTATTTGGCTGTGGCTTAGAATTTATCAGCCTTAGAAATGTATAGAAAAAAAAAAAAACTTTAGTCTATGGTTATAGAATATTCAGATTTTTATGCAACAATTACTGGCCAGTTACAATATAATATTATATAAGGTTTTAGTTAAGGAAAATTAAAAGAACATACCTGTAGGTGCCCATAGAGTGTCACAGTAGACCAATAAAATTGTTATAATATTATCAGGGAATAAGTAGACAGTTTAATTAGACAAAGAGAATGTCTAAAGGAACCAAGTAGATAATAAATGTTAATAGAAAGTGAATGCAATCAAAATGGAAACGGAGTGGGTGTGAAAGTAATTGTTAGAAAGACTGTGCAATAGTGCGAACTACATACAGAATAAATACAACAATATAATATTTTATATTTTTTTATTTATATTATCACTAAAAATAAACTTAAGTATTACAGTTTCTATCAAACAACAACACTCAGTCGCAGCGAAACAATTCAGTACAAAAATATTTACAAGGTCATGGTATTGATAAAGGATGATGGAGATGTAAATGTTTTCTATTTTACACAGAACTACTTTTAAATGCAAACCTGATCTTAAACTTTATTACATACAAAACATTGTGTACTCGTGACGGGCAAACTTACCACCGGTTTTGATAGCTATAGGATACTATCAAAACTATATTAAAATAAATATTTCTATCGCTGTATAATTTCATCTAATTTCCTAACCGGCCTCGTGAAACTGCATTAACATAAAGGCTACAACGTAAAAGTATTTGGCAACTTGAAACGAATACAAATACCCTCACTAAATTCGAATTTTAAATTTGAACCTGGAATACGATCTTCGCGCGCCAAAATCAAATTCCAATTATTTATCTGTATTGCCCGTATTGTTTTATTGATTTTGTTTTTGGCGCGCAAAGACGTTTGGTTTAGAATTCAAGATGTGAGTATTAAATGGTTAAGGTGGGGAAAATGGGTTTAGTTCTCCTTTTGGGGGCGAGGTTTGAGCTGCTTGGGCTGGGTAACGCGGGTCTGGCCATCTTGCTGGAGTCCAGCCAGGAGCTCGCTCTTGCGGATCGCCTTCAGATCCAAGTCACCGTAGTAGTCCTCGCTGAAAAGGTACGGGCACCTTACTGCCTTCCGCTTGCTACTATTCTTAATATTAGGTACGTATACTGCCTATTTTACGCATATAGACGGCTTTTATTTTCGAGCGAGTTTTACTGTATTATTACATCTAAGAGAATTGTGTAACAAAATCTCGTTCTTATGTGGCGATACTGAGTGAATTGCCTTGAAATACTAACCAGAATAATACCCGTTCGCTTTTCTAAGTAACGTTATGTAATGTTTGTTTTCCCTATATTATACACAACTAAATGATTAGGAGCAAAAAAATTCTTCGATAAGTGAACTGATCAACATATATAACATAATAACAATATTTTAACTCATTTGCGCAGTAATATATAAAATCTAACTTCTAAATCAGTATAAAATCTTTAAAAGTTAAATCAGATTAAATATATATATTTTATATGCAACTGAAGTAAATAATAATTTAAAAAACAACCTCTAAAGATAAGTCACATTTCAATATTGATACTTTGTCGAATTGGCAGAACCGGGCAATAATAGGCATAACAGGTAATGGTATTGACAGCTTAAAGTATTTATATAAGTACAGTTAAGGATCTAGCATGGTTTGAGATATGTTTGCATGAAACAAACGGTCATTACCATATGAAGCCGTTACGCACCGGTCGACAGTGACCACGGTCGCCCGAATAAGTATGACGCTCATATAATGCCCGTTGAAATTTGTCTTAAGTTATGTTAATGTCAATACTGGCCTAAATATGTTGTAACAGCTCCAAACCACATTTACCTTCAGGTATTTAGGTGGGCGATAAATTCTTAAACAGTGTACTGCGTCAATTTTTATATAATAAATTATACACCTATACTTCTATGTTTGCTTATTGTACGAATCAAGTGCAACTGAACTGTGGTAATTTCAAGAACGAGTGCAGAAGAAATGTTAGTCACAAGGTTGACATTGGTTGCTTGGAAGTGGTTACTGGGTTCTGATATTAAAATATTTATATAATGGGTTATTGTACTGATACACCAAATGTTTACATAGATGCTGTCACACTATTAAATGAAAAATAATTATATATAATGTAATATATCTAATTAATAAATATATATATTTATAATACGCATCGATAAAAAGATGGTGTGTCAGTTAAGACAAAGTGTTAACTATACCTCGAGAGATTGATCAAACACCACAGAGCCAGTGAGTTTGAAAAGGATCGTTGTATATTTAAATTTAAAATTCAAGACTCAAAAAACACAAATGTCTGACCTAATTGATAAGACTTCTATATAAACAGCAGTAAACAAGCAAAAAGTGAAGTACTATGTTCATGTGATGTGACACACAAGGCGAGATGGTGACTTATTCGATTAAATCAGACATCCAATAAGATTATGTAAAAGAAAAAACTAAACTCACCATCCAGGCACTTCCTCGGGATCTTCGCAGTTGCCTGTGCCATCAGAATCGCCGATCTTGAAGACAGTTCCGATGGGGCAACCGTACTCACGGGCAACGCCTTCAAGGCAGATATAGTATTTTCTGCAGTCTTCTGGGTGCGCGTGGCGGCTGAAGGAGCCGGCGTTGGAAACTTCACCAGGCGCAGGGCAAGAGAAACCGTTCGCTACTTCTGGGAAACACCAGAAAAGGTTACGTGAATGAAAAGTGCGGAAGGCGAAATCAAACAGATGAGTAACAGCTGTGCAGAGTCGGAGGAAATTCGCTGAAAGAGATTGGTGCATTAAAGTAAATGTGCTTATAGTAACGTTCAGAGAATTGTGACGTCAGAGAAATGAAACACAATAATAAATTCAATATAAGTATCTACCAAACTAAAACTGTTTGTTACAATTTTGATATTGACGTACAAAATTTTGAGATTATGCATGACTTTAAAATGTCAGATTATCAAAATATTAATACTAGTCACTAATCAAATATGTAATGTTCGTGATATTAGAACAGTTATCACTTTGTTTGCCAGTTTTTATAATACACAGAATCAAAATTTGTTAATAAATACATATATGTATATATTGTGGTTTCTGAAACGTACCCTCGTTCTTGCATTCTGGAACCTGGTCAGCCCACATGCACACACGAGATTCTCTGTCGTAGGCAAGTCCAGGGCTGCACTGGTAGCGGGAAGCTTCACCATTCCAGCAGTTCCAGAATACGTCACACTTGGCTGCGTCGGCGAAGATACCATACAACCTTTCGCAATGAGGAGTTGAAATAGGTGGCTCTGTTGAATAAACATGGAAAATTTATGTTGCAACCATAGTCGACCTTTAAAATTAAAGCAAAAATCCATTCTCGTGATGTCAAGATCATGTTTCGACATGAAGGATATAATTAATAGCGATCCTAAAATGGCTTGAGAAAAAATGATGAACAGGTACAAAAAGTATTCGTTTATTTATTATGGTGAACAAAAAACAAGGAGTGGTTCTAGTTCAAGGCTAGTATTTCTATCTTGTTTATGCAGTCTATATACATATACATATATGACAATATTACAACAGTGACACGTCGCCAGTGCGTAAAATGTTCAGTTGACCTTCTAACCACATCCTGGTTTTATTATAAAGATTAGAGATTATGTTATGCAAATTAAAGTAACCTTGACCGAAGATATTTTTAGATTTGTATAGATTCCCTGTTACTACGCGATAGAAAATAACATACCAAAAATATAAGAAGTCTAATATACATATTGAACAGACAATATTGTTAATACGAAAATTTTCGTTATCAGACAAGACAAAGTTGAACTTACCAAGTTGCGTCCTCTCCCCACATTCAACATTGTGGAGGTAGTCGCAGTTTTCTGTGAGGTATTTGGAGTCAGTGGCGTCGAAAGCTAAACCGTTCCCACAGGTCTTCAGTTCTGCAACTCCATTGTCACACTTCCAATATTTGTCGCAAGAGATGTGATGAGGGTAGAAGCCAAAGTCATCTGGACATTTGAAGCTTTCTTGGGCGGCCGCTGTAAATATAACGGAGTATTAATTATTGATAGTAATAGATACAAGAGAATAAAAACTACCTATCATGTATAATGAGAGTAATTCTACTTATGTTCGTTCGAACATTTCGACAATATGTCTGATAAAAGAATAATTAAATAGGTATATATGTATAATCCGAAAGTAGAAAAGCACAGATGATACCAGGGAAAGTTTGTACTGTACGGCTTTGGAATGCTCTACCAGTTTCCATACGAAGTATAAAATGTCTGGTTACTTTTAAAACAAAAGTTAAGGACTTTTATTTAAGCAAGTTGTCATCTCCTTAATATGTTTATATGTCTGCTTAGCATACTTATTTCTTGCATATTTTTCGTGAACGTTTATATGCATGTATGTATATGTGTGTATGTATGTGTATGTGTATATGTATGTATATGTGTGTGTATGTATATGTATGTGTATATGTATATATATGTATATATAATAATAAGTAAGGATAATTTTTATATTATTATATGTATTACATATCCCATATCTAGAACTAACAAATTTTTTTATCATGCCTCCTACCAAATTGTTTATAATTACTCCTCTCCATCCAAAGGTTGCCTGGAAGAGATCGCTCTTAGCGATAAGGTCGCCCATTGTTTTCTCATTGTGATTATTTCTTGTGATTGTTTGTATTTATAATAAGTTTACTGTTGTAATCTTTTGGAGGAAACAATAAAGAGTATCTATCTATCTATCTATCTAAAGTATCTTGATTAGAGATACCGTATATTATCTGAGAGTTGGATCAAACTCTTCAAAACTGAGATATATGCATAGAAAGTATTATGAAAGTGGATAAAGCGACAGGTATAAATAAGGATAAAAGTCCTTGATTGTCAAATATCTGCCTACTTCGTAAGGTACTTTGCGTAAAAATAGATAGACTAACTAGTTACTAATTAATATTATAATAATTTTCTTTCATTCTAAAAAGTTCTAGTCCATCGAAGATTCTATCTAATTATCATTAAATTTCGAAATACATTATAATATTAGCTTTGATTATCTCAAGCGACCTTGTCAACTTGTTTTCCAATATTTCCATAATTTTGCATTAAATCGTATATCAGGGTCGAGATGCTTAACAAAATATTATAAATTATCAATATAAAGCATAATACGATATGAAGAAATATAAACACGAGTCTTCTTGAATTTTAATTAAAATTTCAAAATAAACCACCAAGGGGTTTGCAAAGCGCTAATGGCGCTCAACTTATTTTGCAACATACTGGTCTGGGGCAGGGCCGCTCTTTCTCCGAGGTATGCGACACGACAAACCCGTGTTAAGCAACACGGTACAGTTGTCACCACGCCTTATTGGCACATTTGTTGTGGTTTTGACTAATTGTAGGCACGCGCGGCGCACGCACTCTGCCATTGTTTTTGCGGAAATTGGTTAACCGGTAATCCAAATCTACTATTACTTCATCGTTACGATTTATTCATCGTTACAAACATTTACCACCTTCTGACGTAAGTCATTAATTGTCTACTATTGAACACAAACTTTTCCCATTGACATTTATTAAGAACAATTTTGAACTGCCTATGTTTAAATTACTACTAGTAAAAATGGTACCAGAATTAAATTAATTTTTTTAGAGCTAATTAGAAATGAAATTAGAACGTAATATTACATTACTTGCATAAATTTCACATAAATGCTACTATTAACTTAATAACAAAATATTTAGGTAATAGTTGTACAACGCATTTCCTTTTTAGTAAACATTCCAATTAAAGATAATGTATTTTAACCAAAAGAAGCTCATTTTATTATGTATCTGCTATAAAATATATTTTCTTACAAACCCTTTGAATTCTAATATTTTAACTAAGATTTGGCTTATTATTTCTGATATTATGGATAAAATATAATTAATTACTACAATATGTACTGAAAAATCACTATTAATAAAATTCAATATTATTTTGTGATAAAAACAGTAATCGTTTATGTCATATTACATCACGTATGCCAACGGCTACCCACACCGGTTGACATTTGCGCCGGCTACATCCAGGAAAGCAACTCATCTGTGCAGTTTTGCAATAAACTCTCTCGGAATTTGTTTACACGTACATAAGAAAACAAGAGATTGTGTAAAATTACTTATTATGACACACTTGCATTTTTAATAAGAAAAATTTCGCATAACTTATTAAAAAAAAAAACTGGTTTGTATTTCTCATTAGTAAATTCCATACAAACTTTCATATCCTATTCAAACTCTTTAGGAGACAAATTTTGAAAGATTCTTACTTAACGCTAACCTACACTATGTAAGAAATTTCTGTGCTAAAATTTTATGGATTTTAATTGTGTGAAGCATATTAAATGACGTTTAACATACAGGTACATATAAAACTGTAATCTGCTAATATACTAGTCGTGTGAAGTGATGCTCTCTTTATTTATGAATTTCTAAGACATTTCGATACACATGAAATTCTTTGATATTATTCAAAGATAACTTCGCGGGTCCTCCGATAGACAAAACAAATGAGAACAAAAATTTTGTTCGGACTGTTTAGCTACTAGATCAAACATGTTTTTCTGTGTAACATTTTTTTTTCTAAAATGACTAATGAAACGTATATATTTTGTGTACATATAATATATCAAAATATTACAATAACTTGCAATTGTATCAGTACTAAATGTTTAAAGTATCGAATCGCGTCAATATTGCGACACGAACATACGTTGTTGTGAAAATATCGCTAATTACTTTATGTAATCGCCATGGACTCATTGGTTTTGAGTTCATATCGATCTTACAAAATGAAACTGTATAGTATAGTCTAGATAGATTCATAACATGATTTCACATATCTAGACATTGAGTAAATATAGTTTCTTTTTCTTTTCATTATAATTATTTCCAAGTATTTACTACTATCCATTAAAATTCTTATTTATTACCATTGTTTACCTATTCCATTATTACAAAGGTCCATATTTTTTAAAAACATACAATTCTTTCAAGCTCTAGATAAAATAAAATTACTAACGGACATATGATATTGTGACTAAAATAATTATGTTTATTAGATTCATGTAATATTTCTTTAAAACCATTCTATATCGAGAGATAAATATTTAAGTGTAATGAATTAATTAGACACAATAATTTTATATAACAATTTTAAAGCATCGATCCCTCGAACAAATCATCTATATACATAGTATTTGTAGTCTAGACAACCTTTCTTATTTTATTGAATAAATCGAGGTAAGCTAGTGCCCACTGCATACCTGAAATTCTTTACGAATGAGCGAACTTGTTATTTTATAAATAACAACGAATTTTACTCGAGCATTCACATATAGGATAATGTTAAATTATTTTATGTTCAATTGATCGATGTATCAAATATTGTATTCATGATTTAATACATATTATTATTTTTTCCTGTTCATTTGTCTAATTCACGTAATATAAGCTCTGTTAAGTTAATTAACTACATCGCGTTGTGAAATACAATTAGAACTATTTGTTTTATTATTTATCTCTAAATGTGTATTAATATTTTAAAGTTTTTTATATAATATTTATACGAAGGTGACAAACAAGTATGTCAATTATTAAAATAGATTATGACTGAAATAAATATAAATTTTTATTATATGTAAATTTTTAACAGAATGTTAGATGTTAAAATACATGTTTATTTACTTTCTTTACAATCAACGGAGTGCAATAATCATAGTAATAAATGATAGACATCTACACCTCATCTGTCAAAATGAACACTTCAAATTTATTATTTCCGCTATAAAAATTGATGAGAATGAATAGTGCAGTAATTTAAAACTTAGTTGTTTAATATAATGTTGCAACTTCACTAGTTTTCACGATATAACTATAACTATTAAGTTATATGACAAACTATCGTTCCGCCCCGTCTTCACATGGGTAGATAAATAGAAAAATAAATATGTTATATTAACATAATATGCCAATTTCCGATACTTTGGGTTGATTTTTCAAAATCAGTTGAGTAGTTTCTGAATTTATCCATTAAAAATAATCCTCACATATAACATACAAATAAAAAATCAAATTTTCTCTATAATATTGTATTATAGAAGTATACATTAGTAACCAGTCCCAGCTATGCACAATTTTTTTATACAATATATCTCTATTATTTTTAAAAATTTTGCCCTTTTTTTTAAAATGTTATTTTACAAACTGTGTGTGTCGATTCCGATAAAATGTTAACTAACAAAAAGAACCATATATATTTCTTGTAATTATATTAGTTTAAATGACGATCTTAGTAGTGTAGTAGTAGCTTAAGACACTGTCTTAACCTTCGATGGCCGCGGTTTCATCTCCGTACAATAAATCAATTGTCTTTATTAATTTATCAAATTTGAATTTTCATATCATCTTGATTCAAATAGATGTACAAGCATTTTAAAATCGTTATTTTTTTATGAATTTAGGTTTCGGAAAGTTGTTATCTGCGAAAAAACTTACAACAAACTCATTAGTTACTCTTTTAAATCTCTGTTAACATTAAATGTATTTAATTTTATTTAAATGTACGACGTCTAATAGTAAAAACATGCTCATTAAAAAGCCCGTGTGATCGACGAACACCATGTACATTTGTCATTCGGGTAATCGTTTCGAGTGTTTTTAATAACAATTTTACATTTTATGAAAAGTTAGATCCAAGATATACTTGGATATCTATTATAACGTTTAATTTCCATTTCCATGAAAGACTTATTAACTTTTCCTAAATTATACAGTATCTTTTAATTTGTACCTAATGCTAAGATTACTAAGATCGCTTTATTTTTCGTCTAGACACTTCCTATTCATTTGTCTAATTCACGTAGTACAAACTGTTTGGAAATACATTGCGGTGTTAAATACGGTGAGAGCTATTTGTTTTACTGACCTCATCCATTGATACATTATACTTTAAGTCTGTATAGATCGGT